CTTCGATTTAGCTGCCTTATCAATCAGCGCAAGTTCGTTTAATGCCAAAAAAAAAACAGAAAAAAAAAAAACAAAAATCGTATTCAGTGCATGCTCATCACAGTACCATCGCAGACGTGGTGCAGTCGCAGTCCGGGTCCGTGAAGTTCGTTTTCGCCAGTTATTAACGTGCCCGTAAAGTATATATTAAGGTTTGTGTCTGAAAACGATCTGGGAACGGGTTACCAAGCGATCCGGCAGCAGTTGGCGTTATGTGAGTAAGAGAGGAATATCGTTCCGTTCGGTTCGGGCTCGATTCGGTTCAGTTCAATTTGGGTCATAAACTGCGCTCTGTTTTCAAAATGATTGCTAAAAATAAATGCAATTTGTTATCAACGCTCACAATCGAAACGCCGGCTTGGCATGATTAACTGCGCCCCCACACCCTTGAAGTCATGTCAGTGACAGGTGAACTCGAAACATACTCAATGCTAAAATAGTATATCTGATATGATATCTCCATTAATACTGCCACAAAATGCAAACAAAAATACAAATGGCGTCCCAATAAAAGGCCTTGGCAGTGGAGAATACCCAATTTCCTGCCTTTCTTAGCGGTTCCGTCATTTAGGAAATTGAACAACTAAGATCCGGGTTCGAATTCCTGGCTAGTGTGTGCAAGTAGCATGGTCTTAGCCGAAGGCCATGCATGGCAATACTATTAGAAACTGATGTTAATAAATTGCAACTACATCCTATAATCACAATAACAGTATTAATAATAAAAATAACAACAACGAAAATAACAATAATATTGATAATATTAATAATGCTAAAAATATTAATAATAATAATAATAATTACAATTTTAACATATTGTAAATTTTCAAAAAAGAACAAGTTAAAAAGGAACATATTTAAGATGATATGGAAAAGATGGTGATAATCATATGCAGCTTCTCTTCAGCTGGGAAGCACTCACTTAATCAACAGCTGAATATGACTGGTTATTTCGATAAAAATACTTTAAAATAATAACATGGGTATTAATTTTTAATCAGACCTAAAATATCTACGCACTTTGCTAAAGCACTCTTAATTTCAGTACTGGCAACTTATTACAGAGACGCATTAGATTATATATGTGTATTTGTATATACATATATATATATATATATATACATGCCTCAGACATACCAACCAGAGTCGAAATATGTTAAATAGTTGTCTACTCAGACATCATATATAAGTTATATATAGAAAGAGCTATTTATATGTATACAAAATCAAGCAACTACAAATTGCATTATCATCCTTGAGTAGCACAAATGAAACACACCTGAGCGGGCCACAAATTTTGTTAAATAGTTGTTAACATTTTAAAATTTGTTCTATTAGTCAAAAGAAGTTAATTATGCCGAAAATAGTGGGGAAATGCACAATGTTTTAAGCTCAAAAAATAGACAGCTGCACATGAAGCAGTTGAAAATGTTTTTTTTTTATTGCCAGCTTTAATATGTCCAGCTAAAGTGGGCTACTAAATGCACAGTTTCGACTAATTATTAGTTGCAAATGAGATTTCAAATGAGATTTAAAGAAATATACCTAGTTGAGTTAATTTACCTTCAAGTTGTGTGCACTTTCTCGGTGTATAAATTTATTGGACTTGACCTTCGGTCGGATAGCAATATGTCTTTCAGCTTTAAATTGGCACCTCTCTTTTATTATTGGCCCGCCTGTCAGTTCAGCTTCTTTGACCACAAAATAAAATTAACTAATCAAACATTATGCAAAGTTATTTTTGATTGTATTCGCTGCTAGAATGCCACTTTAGACACATAAACATCAATTGATCAACACGCCGGGCCACACATTTGGCCCAATTTAATTCAATTAAGCTGCTTATGGCTGGCACCAAAAACAGGCCTGAGAAGTATCTAACTATCTTTTGGACAGTGCGTGCCATCTCGACTCTCGTCGCAGATATACGCACTTGCAAGCCGGCGAACATTTTGAGCTAACTATCAAAACAAAGCATAAATTCTGTGGAAAAGCACTATAAATTTTAATGCCATGAGTTAAACAAAAAAAAATATATATTAGAAAAGAGAATAGATAAAGCAAAACGGAAATGTTCTTTTTGGAAAAAACATATGCGTTGTTCAATTTGTATTTTTGGCACATTTTTAGCAGTTTCTAAGTTTTGGATGATCTGCATTTAATTTATTTATAAGACGCCGACTCAATATATTGCCCTAGTATATGACTTTTATTGCTATATATTATTGTTTAAAACGTTAATTCTGCTTTTAATATGACTTTTTGGTATACATAGTGACATAGACACACACTCAGTGTCTCTTTTCGCTTTCTAAGATAGTTTCTATGCTCGTACATTGAACTTGGAAATTGTTAAATGTTGAGAAAGTAGCTGAGGAAAATCTAGTCAACTGACTGTGTTCATATTTCTTAATGTGTTCTTATTTTTTATGATTTCTATCTATTTATATTTATTTAATTAATTTTCTGGCTTTATATATATTTGTATACTGTTAGCTTGATTCTGCCCGATCTTTAAATTTTGAAAGATATTTAACCATTTTTATGAACCAATTCATTTGATAATTTCAGCAATGATTTTATATAAATGTGTCGTTACTTTTGCTATATCTCTCCCTCTCCCTCTCTCTTCCTCCCTCTCCCACTCTCTTCCTCCCTCTCCCTCTCTCTCTCTCTCTCTCTCTCTCTCTCTCTCTCTCTCTCTCTCTCTCATTCTCTCTCTTTCTATGGTGCACACTCTTTCCGCTTTCTTCCTTTGCATTTTCTCTATTTTGCGCGTCATCTGCCGCCGCCCAAAACGCATTTAGCCAATTGGCCCTGGTCCAAAAACAATTTTAATTTGTCTATATGAAAAAGGGACTGAGGCCAAGTGAATGGGACGCTTCTTTGAGCAATATCGCTGCAACGGCGTGCACTCGCAGTGGTAGCGCCGGGCAATATGCAGCCGCAGGTGGGGCAGGCTATGAATCACAAATATGTCAGAATGCCGTATACCTAAGTAGAGCCCCCAGATAATACGTTTAGGTCTTTGATAATTGTGCAGTGCAGCAATAAGTATTAAAAACAGATCGCTTTTGACCTCCTTAATCGATCGATTGTCAGGGACGGCCATCGTTTTATTTATTTACAATTTCTCTCGCTGCCTTTGGCAAAGTTTAAATTCAATTTTTATTATTTTACTGCTCAATTAAAGCTTCCTATGCAGGCTGCCAAAAAAAAAAACGAAATAAAAGCTCACACGCAAAACGAAAAAAAAAATAGAAAAAATGTCGCAGATCACCGCAAAGTTCAAGGCCAATTAACAACGTCGCGATTGGTGCATGCTCTCCTCTTCTTTTGGGTTGGGCTATCTGAATTGGTTTACCATTTAGGGGCGTGTCTATATCCACCTGATCAGGCGAGCACGTGTCACAATTGAAAAACAATAAAATACAAACCACATGCCAATTGTACTTTGAAAACAATCCGCATAAGGTATTTATCAATTCTCTTTGAGGGCGTGCCTTTATTATTTAACCAATGCTGGGTTTGACCTGTTGAGGCACGTGCTACATCGAAAACAATAACAAAACTACTTGCCATTGCTTTTTCAAAAGAAACAGCGATAAATTGATTAAAATTTATTTAATACAAATATGTACAACTTTTGGAATTTAGATTTCATTAGCAGGAAAGAACCTGTCACGCATTAATCATATTATATAATGGATTTTTAAAATGTATGTGCTGTCACATATATTAACTGAAAGGCACAAAAATCACTGGCAGCAGGTAAAAAGTATAATTAATAAATAAAAATAAACAATTGATTGTGAATTACATATTTGAATGAACTGTGGAAATGCCAAAAATGCACAAGTGCAAATGCCATCTGCTCGTAATACCCAAAATAGGCTATTTAAATTATTGACAGGCAGCTAAAAGTTTAATCGGTTGCCAAATGAAAAATGCTCTGCAAATTATAAAAAATAATTGCCAGCTGTTTTCTCAAAAAGAGAAAGCATAACATTTTGAGTAAATTTATTTGTTTACTTAAGAAAATCTTTGACTGTTTCTTAGTCTTAGGCAATAAACAAAAATAATATTGTTATACACGTCATCCAAGTATATATATACATATTTTTACACATATATCTGTATATTTGTTTTGCAGCATCGTTGCAATTGCCGACTCGCAAATTGACGTGACGTAAATGAATGAGCCCGGCGATATACCATTGACACACAGTAGCACGCCGGACAACAGGCCGCCCTGCAGCATTATCTCAATAATACCAAACATAGGGATGTCATCATGCCGTGGACGTGCCGAGGCATTCGCGCGAAGTTTGTCCACAAAGCTGCGCACCTTGGGATCACAGGTGAGTTGCGAATACTTAATGCAAATCTGGCTAAGCTATCGCAAATGCGATATATATTTGACTTTCTTTAAATATCAATTCCTACTCATATTAAAGTTTGTTGCTGCTTATATTAATTATATATGGCTGCAAATCCAAAAAAAAGTTCTTTCGGGTTACGGTTTGTTCTTGATTCAAGCTTCAGCTTAAGATTTTTTCTCCCAATTTGACATTTCAGTATTATTTATACAATTGCCCGTTGTATTGAGAATATGTCAAGCTATACATATTTTCATAAGCAAGATAAGGGCTAGATTTGATCTGTACCCAAAAATTTGCAACTACCTAACATGTTTGGATAAGTGCAATTGCTAGGCCTAAGCTATAGAACTAGATTACCCTATATACTTTTTGATTAGCATAGCATTTGTAATTATAAATGTTTCGGTTCAAAACAGTTTTTTACCCAAGAATTACAGAACTTTTAAAAATAATAATATTTTATTATTATAATAATTCAACTATGCACCCACACCATACCTATTATATTAATGCTTGGATCCAAGCAATCGTATTAGGAGCAGGACGAGAATCGACTATAAATTTCTAAGGCATCAGTACTTTTTCTGATTTCAAACTAGTCACATCACATTAAAATATTTAGACAAAAGCAAAAATGAATTTATTGCGCAAACAAGCACCGGAAATCAATTCGATTGCGGTCACATCAATGGGTGCATTCCGACCGATGACTCTTCACGAGTATCGGGGTAGATATGTGTTACTGCTCTTTTATCCGGCAAACTTTTCATTCGTGTGCCCAACGGAGCTGCAGGCATTTAGCGATCGCGCACAGGAGTTTCGGAATATCGGCTGCGAGATCATTGGCTGTTCGACGGACAGTCACTTTGCGCACTGCGCCTGGATGATGCAACCCCGTAAGGTTGGTGGCCTGGGCGAGATTGACGTTCCCCTGTGGTCAGATAAGTCCATGAAGGTTTCTCGCGACTATGGGATGCTGGACGAGAACACTGGCCTGGCCCTTCGCGGCATGTATATTATCGATCGAGTTGGCATCGTACGTCATATCTCGGTTAATGACGCGGGTGTGGGACGCAGTGTCGAGGAGGCCCTCCGCTTAGTTCAGGCCTTTCAATTTTCGGATGAGTTCGGCGAGGTTTGCCCGGTTAACTGGCGACCGGGTGCAAAGTCCATGAAGCCGGATATCGCTGGCAAAGAAGAGTACTTTAAAAACGCCAGCTAAAAACATACATTTTGTAGTTCGATAAAGGAGTGCAAGTAAAATATATTTTTTGCGACACACACACACAAACACGCTCAATAAATTGGATAATTAGCAAATGAATAGGAGTTTTTCAATCGTGTATATACTTTGTGGATAATTTGAGAATTCAGTTTGGAACAGATCAATGTGGAAGGAGGTATTATCTGCATTTGAGAATTCAGTTTGGAACAGATCAATGTGAGACCAGAAAGAACGAATTCCTTTGGATTGTGCAAGATTAAATGCCCTTGCTTTTTATAAAAAATAGTTTTAACCAATTTTTCCTTCAATTCATATCCTTTTTTTGAAATGCAGGCCAACGAGGAAGGCGCCAATGCAGAGGATGAACCTATTATAAATGGCGGCAATACCAACACCTGGGTAAATGCGCACGAATCGGAACAGACTGTCACCGATCTCCAGCCGCTGCGTCACGAGTCGGATTCATTTTTCGACTTTGACTGCGAGCTGGAATCGCCAGGCAGTCCAGTGGATGAGTGTGAGTACCTGCGTCTCATAGAAACCGCCTCGAATACGCCACACAACTCCACGGCCGAGTCTGGCTATGCTTGCGCCTCGGCGGCAAGCAGTCACAGCAGCACAGATGGTCCCTACTTTGATGCGGCGGCCGGCAGCAGCAGCAGCACAAGCAATATGCAAAATGAGCTGCTGCTGGTTACCACACAGCCGCAGGCGGAGCGCAGCAAGTTGCCGGCTACGGAGCTCAAGGAATATGTGAACACATTGCAAATGAATGGCACTCATGAGCCACTGACAAATGGTGATCAAGCTGAGGCGACGGTGGAGGAGGAGGAGGTGGTAGGCAAAGTGGAACCGAAACAGAAGGAACAAGCAAGGGAGAGCGAAGATGAGACGCTGCTGCAGGCACAAATACTAAGCGAACTGCAGCAGCACAGCGATAGCATCAAGAGCCCTGGCAACGGTTGCAGCCAGGAACAAACGGAGCAGGCGCCAGTTGAGGAAGAGCCGGTGTTGGTTAATGGTCACGTAAATAAGCCAGAAGAGAAGCTGCAACAACCTGAAGATGACAAGCTAGCTCAGACAACTGCAGAGCAGGAACAGGCAGAGCAGGAAGCACAACAGGCGCCAGATTGCGGTATAGATGAGGTAGACAAATGCACAGAGGGCATGCTAACTGTGGACGTGGGACTGGCACAATTAGAGCAGGCTCAACAGGATGTCACAGAGGCGGTTAACGAGGCGGAGAAACCCAGTCAAGCCCATGGCTTAGACACCACAGACGACGAGGACGACTGTCGGCCGCAACGCGTACGGCGATGCTCCTCCTTGAAAACAGGCAAAACGCCGCCGGGTACGCCTGGACGCAAGAAAATTGTGCGCTTTGCCGACGTGCTTGGCCTGGATTTGGCGGATGTGAAAACATTTCTGGACGAAATACCAACCATACCGAAATCCGCGTTTGAGGATCTGGAAATACTTGAATCAGAGCCACCACTGCAGCTTGGTCCCAAATCGGATAAGCTGTTGATGCCGCTGTTCCAGCAGCCGGGCGGTCTGCCCACATTCCTCGATGCGGTGCGCGAGAAACAGGTATCGCTGGAGAATGCCGCTGTCACCGATAGCATCAATCAGACAATCTCCGGTACGGTGCGTGTACGCAATCTGGACTTTCATAAATCAGTGCATGTGCGCTACTCGCTGGACGGCTGGCGCAGCTATGCGGATCTGCAGGCCAACTATGTGGAGAACTCTTGCGATGGCTTCTCCGACAAGTTCACGTTTGTGCTCTTTGGCAATTCGCTGCATGTCGGACAACGTCTGGAGTTCGCCGTGCGCTTTCAGTGCAAGGGTCAACAGTTTTGGGATAGCAATTATGGCGCCAACTACTGCTTCCAATGTTTGCCCAGCTCGAATCACGTGGCATCGCCGGCGTCTGTGGTGAATGGCGCCGTGCAGTCGCATCATGGCAGCAATTTGGTCGGCATGCTAAGCCCCACGGCGGGCGATGCCTGGTGCAGTTCGTTCTACTAATATGTATATGTATCTATATATCTATATATATATATATGTATTTATATATGTATATATATGTATAGTTAGTAGCAGTTTGCGGGGACACTCCGAGGAGGCAGTAGACGACGCGGACGCGGGTCGTTGCAGTCAATGCCAAAAGGCAGTGCGCCGTCAATGCCATTGGACGTCATTAACTGGTGTCGGCCTTGACGGCGTGTGCTGGGGCGTCTGCCACACCCAGAGATCAGAGATCAATACTATATAGAGAGAACGGTGCAATCCACCAACAACCCAACCCCAACCGCACAGCCCAGCCCATACCCCTCCCATGTACGTACATGTATGTAAGGCAAATGTTTATATTTTTATAGAGTGGAATAAAGTAATGCTGGAAAAGAAGCAGAAGAAGGAGGACCAGATGCAGCGGCTTCGATAACCAGGCAAATATTGTAAAAAATAAGAGTGGCCCGAACAAAATACGAGTAAACAGAGCCAGCAAAGTGCGAAAGAATCCCAATGATAGCTAATAGTTTTACGTTATAAGAAGAGCAAGTGATAACTAATGATGATGATGATGATGATGATGATATAATGTTGATGATCAATGATTAATGATGCATAATGAACACTTTTTAATGTCTACTACAATTTTAATTTCTATAGTTCTCTTATATATACACAATATACATATTGGTTTATGCTTTGTTCAGGCATGTGAGGGGGACACTACTTTAGGGGGATTCACGTGAGAGAACGTATTAAGTTTCTCAAATCAGAATCTGTTTACTACCTGCTATTGTTCCAATATGCAACAAATAACCAACTTTGATTTTCTAGTCAAACCAAGCTTTACCATAAGACTTTAAAAAAGGCTATATACATTAGCTATATACAAGGAGTAAACAGCCCAAGCCGAATCTCTTGCCAAACCTCGTTAGAAATGTGCCAATAGTTGCGCATTTAGCTCCATGACACCAAATGCTTGCGAATTATATAGATTGCAACTGTGCAAGATCTATGATAAATAGTTACAGTTATTGAATTTCCTACCCCTACACGTACTGAACAATCGTTTTTTGCTATGCCAAAAATAATAATTATTATTTTGTTTTCGATCAAATGTTAATATTTTCTTTTTATTGTTTAATTTAATTTTTGTGTTATATTTTATTTAATTTGATTTATTTTACGATTTCGATATTTTCTTTATGTATATGTTGATGCATAATATTATATACATATAAACGATATACATACATACAGCATAATATATAAAATATACAAAATAAAAAATATAAATTTTAGTTCAATTTTGTGGCTTGTTTTCGTTTTAACCTTTTAAGTTTAAGAATGAGGTTCATCAACAAACCAGGATTGGCGTTATCATACTTTATATAATACAAATAATATCTCGAGATATAACAATTGTCCAAAACTTCTGAAACCAATAGCATATATAGTATATCAGGGAGAGCCAAGAACCTAACACTAAAGAATTAATTATTGAAAATAACGAATGCAAAACACAGCTACCTCAAGGTTTTTCAATTGGAAAACTTCGTAAAAGTTAAACAACAAAATATATAAATAATGTTATATATGTTTATTGCATAGCAAACATGTAAAGATACCAACCTAATAAAAAACTAACTTTAAAAGTTACAAACTATTTATACAAACTATGACAGAATCTATGTAACAGCGACAAATATAAATACCTTCGCATAAATGGTGTACTTTTCAAACGCCCCACAGTAAAGCCCCATTAACTATTAGACTGAAGCGTGAGTATAACAACAGCAGCCCCCAAAATGTTTTTGACCAGCATATATATAAATATATATGTTTGATTATAAGATATGCCTAGAAAGTTCCAAGAAACTTAACCTTCTGGTACGGATTATTAAAGTTTGTTTGTGTTACGGGGCAAAACTTGCATCTTAAATGTCAAAACTAGAAATATAAATAAATTACTTTTCCCAGTATCATTTTACTTGTACGTATTGTGGGCGGAACAAAGTGCAACGGCAGTTGGAGGACATTTCTTAACCTAAAGGAATGTCTGTTAGTTAATAGCTTGTTGACACAGCACCGCCATCTTCTTCAGGCGCTCATGGCGTTGCCACTAAGGTGGACATGCGCGCTGTTTACCCTGCCATCACTCCAGTTGCTCCCTTGCAAATGCTCAATGATATGTTGAGCATTTGGCTAGATTTTTGTACAAGTCAGCTTTAGGTTTCATCATAAAAAACGTTTTTTTTTTATTTATAACAAAGCGGATCTTATGAAAGTTTTAAAATTAGTTACTTATTAATATAAATACAAAGTGCTCTTAAAAAATAATGTTCCTGCATGGAAAACTCTCTATTTCTGTAGTGTAAATAAAAGCTTTCGGGACAACAAATTCCCCCAGTTCATTATGAACTCTAGCTAAAATATCGGTTAGTCTCAATAGTGTTTGAAATGTGAAACCAATAAGAACAAAAGACCAATTACAAATTTGACAAACCGAGAAACTGACACCATAAGCAATACCAGCAACCATTAGCAAACTTCATCCTCCACGGTCGGCTCCTCATCATCTGGCTGAGAGACGCTGACCTCAGCGCAGTCGTCCTCGACGCTGTCCACAAAGCTGGAGACTCTGCAAACAATGAAACAAGCATTTTAATTGGAGTCTAATTTTTTACATGTGGCATGTGTCACTTCTCGAAATCGCATTGTGGCAGCAGTCCCTCGTCCTTGAAGTGACCGGCTCCGCCGCCAAATCTAAGCAACGTGCAGAGACGCAACAGAGCCAGGAGCTGCAGAAACATGCCAGCCACATAGCTCAGCCAAAGATTGTGGGGAAAGAGTATCAGTGCCACGCCCATGGCGACATATATGGGCGTCGGCCGCCAACCACCCAGCAACGTGGACAAACGCCAGCAGTCCAGACAGGAGGAGGAGTTGTGGTAATTATCGCTGAAAATTAAAAATAAATAAATACATATGCGCATGCATTAAATTTATGACCTTCTCCTTTGGGCTGAGCAACTTACTCGCCGCATTGGAGCTGCAGAAATATGGTTATCAGCCATTTTAACTCAATGAACAGCACCAGCAAAGCTGAAAAACTGGCCAAGCATTAAAATTTTATGATCCACGACTAGCAGAGTTTCAGAGCTTCTTACATTATAAAGAGGCCCGCCTGATAGCCATGCATATAGACATCGACGCCCACTCCGCAAATAACTGAAATGAAAAATGACCACAAATTGGCTGTTGGATGCTCAAGAAATTCGTATTGGGCGGGGATGTGTTATGAGTTTTTCGTGTTCTAGAATATGCGTATTAAACAATATGGTATTGTGTCTACACAAACATTATTTCATCCGGTCTTCGATAGGCCATAAAATATGCCAAAACGCAAATATCTAATCTAAGTAACATTGATGAGACAAAGCCGAATGTGCGAGGGTAGTCGAAAATGTTTGGGAACTATGGAGGAGGATATTTGTATATTTGATATGGTTTCAGATATCCAACGAAATGAATCCCTTTTTTTAAAAGAGAGCTTCAGAAGGCAAAAGGGCAATAAATATCAAATATTATTAAAACCCTTAGCCGCACGCATTTCAGAACTTCTTTGACTGCCCACTTTTTATAGCATATGTATAATATTGTAACCAAATTATGCCTAGAAGCATTTCATTTCATTGTGTAAAATATGACTAAGACAACAGCAAAAACAATATCAACAAAAAGATGCCAAACAAAAACAAGAAATGCGAGAATCTGCCGAAAATTCAATCTAATTAAGTTGTTATTGTATGCGCCGGGAAAACAAATTCGATTAGACTGCAGATAAAAGGCAAATGAGGTTAGACCAAAATCCACAACAAAAACCAAAGCCAACCAATTACATTAAACGCTTCGAGAACCAAAAAAAAAAAAAGTCGATGAAACGTGCGTCCAGAGAAAATCAAATAAAAACTAGGCAAAAATTATGCGCTGCTCTCTGCACGATTAGGAAGGGGCAGGGGAATCCCAGCTAAACTTTTCCGCTTTTTTTTTTTTGCGTCGCCATATTTTGAAGGAGGGTTTTCAGTAAACCGACTGGCGCCAGAAAGCCAACAACAAAAATCATTGTATAGGGGGCAAACACTATAAAGGGGTGCACTTGGCAGGGATGTGCAAGTGCAGCTGCAAAAAAAGGGCCAATGCCTCGTTAATGGCCCTGAGAGAGCATTCTTTTTTATCAGATTGTTGAGCATCACGCAGCGTTGAGGTTTATGAACTGTGAGTTCTTCCGGCCTGCATGCATAATGCAGACCCAGACTTTGTCTAAACAAAAACAATATGCTTGGGAAATTATTTTGAACTTGACCCAAGTTGTAGCTGCTGCTGCTGATGCCGCGGACTTAAGCAGCGCTCATTTATCATACGTCCCAGTTGGGACTAGTCAGGCCCGCTTAAAGACTGTTGCTCTATTGAAAGCTGCTATTAGAAGTGCATTAGACGAGACACTGGGCAGCCAGAGAGCCTCGGATACAGATGATACTCATGGGAGTGATGGCATGACAAGCGGCAAAGCTAAATTTAATAAATGTAGCATATGCAAAAGTGTTTGGGGCAGATTATGAATTGCATTCGAATGGGGAATAGATGAAGTGGTTCGCATGTTGCATACAACGCGCTTCTTCTTGTTAAACAGTTTTAAACACTTTAAAATTAGTTTACTAGAAGAAGTGCACTTCATCAATCATGATTTTAACGAACCTTTATAATTGAGTACCTTTAAGTATCTATGGGACCTCTAAGCCCAACAGAACTCAAATTTTGAATTAAATCTTCTCGAAATTTCATAGGTACAATACAATACAATATTTACCCAAGCGCTTAGTCTTAATTTTAATTTATTTGATTTCAACTGAATTACATTTTTAAATTTCTTTTTAACATTCTGGAATTTTATTTATGATTAGTGTTCTATTAAGCGCATAACCCTTTTGCCTTATCATATATGTATGTTATTATGTGCTACCTGTATAAGTTAAATTTAGCTCATATTCTTCCACTTGAATCACTTCCGATTTATGGTTGTGTGCGTAAGTGTGTGTGATGTGTGGGTGTGGGTGTGTGCTTGCACTTGTGCTTACCGAATGAAGTCAGCAGACCAAAAACCCTTATCACAGGACGTAAACACTCACAAGGCTCGGCTGGCTGGCGGCAGCGGCGACGACGTCGTTGCAATTGCTCATGTTGTTGATGTGGTTGACTCATGGCTCACAATATATATTTCAATGTTTTTTTTTTTTTGTTAATAAACGTTTTAGTTGCACATATCCCGAAACAAAAGCCAACAGATTGGCAGCCCAGTGGCCACGTTAATACATCAGCTAATACTCGTACAACAGCAGAGCTCAGCAGGGCTTAGCTCAGAAGACACATTGTGTTGTGCATTGAATATAAATCAAGTGAACTTTTACGGCAACGTATCCAATTTCTTGGCAAGCAACCAACCGACGATTGCCAAGGATAGCGACACTAACAACAACAACGAAAGCAAAAAAAAAAAAGAAAAACAATAAGCAGCTCGTTACGCGTTTAAATTTCAGCATTAACTTTGAGCTGGCGTACGCTGCGTATGCGTAATGCGGCCGACACTTTCTGCGTTTGCACGTATAATTCGTTTTCCTTTTCAACGCATTTAATCACCATGCCACTTTGTGTGTGTATGTTTGTGTGTGTGTGCGGCAACTAATGGCTGCAAATTACCGTTAACATGCAGCATTCATTTACCCCGCACGCCGCAACGCACGCAGAACGTCAGCCACTGACTTTTTAAAATGTCCGCCAAGTTTGTGCAGGTGCCACTTGCCACTTGACTCCAGAGCCAAAAGCCGAACCCGAGTCGTATTCAGAGTCGGAGTGCCCTAAACAACGTCCGCACGCTTCTGGCAGCGCCAAGTGAATGAATAGAGCAATCGTCCTTAGTCGCCTCTCAGGCTGCCTGACTCTGTGGCCCACAGCGCGCGGCAAGCCTGGCAGCGAGATGCCCTACTTTGTGAAGTACTTACTACTTGATTGATTCTGCGCTGAGCTGTAAATCAAAAATAATAGTACACTCGAATGCGCATATAAGTATGCATTACAGAACTATCAACAATAAAGTTTTCACACCCAAACTCAAGATAGGTTCTTGATTTAAACGCTTTCTCGATCAAAGTTACCTGCATTCACATATTGTTGAAGTAGAATAAACATTTTTGCAAGCATTTTGTAGCATAACTAAGAGCTTTACATCTCAAAATTGTCTTAATTTTCCCTTAAGTTATTTTTATTAAACAGATAGCGGCTGCTTCCTGTCTTCTATGCTGACTCTATGTTACTTTGCTGCTTTGCTTTTATTTGTCACGATGCCCTGCGTTTTGTTGTTGTTGCTGCTGCTGCTGGTGTGTTTTCCATGCTTCAGCTGGCTGCCCTTGTGCCCCACCCGTTGTTCTCGCCCTGTTCATCACTTTGTATGTTTGTTGGCGTCGTTTCAGTAATTTTCATAACTGGCCCACTGCGTGGCCAAAGCGAGGGGCGCCGCTTCCACGCAAAGCAGTTGACAATTGCGCCATCTACGCAGAGTTGTGGACAAAAACATTTTCGGCAGTGAAAATGCCAGCATCCCAACCGCCCCCACCCTCCTCCTCCACCATACACACATTAAACACAGGAGTAGTTGGGAAGTAAATATTTTTTTAGCCTGCTTCAGGTCTTGCCTACAACTCCTGAATCTCTCATCTGTTGGCTACGAGCATTTTTGGAACTAAGAAGCCAGCGTGCTGTTTGCATTATGCGCCAATAATGGCATCTTTGCTGGTACAACGTGGCGTATGCGCAATGCTAATGATGCGCCTCATTTAGCGAAGTCCTTACGCCGTTTCATTATCTTGCTGATGCCCGCCACCATGGCCACCTCGGGCAGTGCGAGCTTAGCATCCTCCTGGAAGTCACAGCGACGCGTCAGATGCAGCCATGTCCGCTCTGGGTTTAGGGAGAGCGGCATTTGGAGCCAGCTGACATAGTCGATCTTTAATGAGCCCGTGAGCAGCTGATCGAAGGGTGTATTTCCTATAAAGAACATGGACCTCAGCACCGAGAACTTGGCTTCCTGTATGTTCTGGCCCAGCACGCCCTGAAACGGGCTTGGCTCATTGTCGCCAGTGCCCAGCTGGTCGAGCAGCCAATCCTTGTTGAACTTCAGATAATTGTAGAGCACTTTGAGCGCCTGTTTGCCTATGTTGGTGGTCAGCACATCGCTGGCTAGCACTTCGGCTATATAATCGGCAATGCCCACATCCAGCTCCATGGCATAATTGGCCGGTGGACTGTGACTCAAGCGCTCCGATTCGGCATTGGTTATGGCCAGGTCATCCATTTTAACGGTGCTAACGGCACTCATGCCGCCGGCTCCGCGGCTGCAGCTGCTGCCGCCGAAATCCGTGTCCAAATTAATGCTCTCCTTGGCTTGCTTCAAAAACAGCTCTATCTGGTCAGTGTGCTTGTCATCCTCGTCTACGGAGCAAATCGCTTCCGATAGCGAATAACAAATGGCAGCTTTGTCGTCATTTTTGGCTGCCATAAAAGTCAAAGTCAAACATGTAGTATAGTGAAGTGTAGTGTAGCTTACAAATCATCCTTGAGACTTACCCTGCTCATGTGACTCTGCCGTCTTGATTAGTTCTGTGTAGAGAGCTGCGAAAACTACCTGCAGCAACACTGAGTCACCCAGTGGACGCGTGGACACTGGTATTATATCCTGTAACAGGGCCGTTATCTTGTACAAGCCCTCGGGCATGCAATCCCAAATCTCTGAGACGCACGTCAAGGCAAGGGACATGGCCTGATACATGCTGGCACCATTCTCCACGGCATTGATCAGCATCTCCACGACGCAGTCGAGCACTGGATAAACAAAGTGCATGATGGCCTCCAGCCACGGGGTGCGCTTCTGGTTCCACACCTGACGCTTATCCAGGCAATCGCTCCAGCCGCTCACAGCATGCTCCTCCAGTGTCTTGATAAGACAGGACTTGATATCAACAGCCTTGCCCACGGCTACAACTAGGTATGTGAGGGACAGAACAATTTGATAGTTCGACTGTCCCACTGGATCTGCATAAAAAGTACATGAATCTCATTTAGTGTTTGGTAAAAAGAGTTTATCATGCCAATTATGACGCACCTATATCCGCCGCTATGGAGTCGGTGACATTGAAGCACTCGCCACGGCAAAGGAAGGCCTCGCATTTCAATGGCGCACCTTCCGCACTGGTAAACGAATGCTTGGCCACATTTTTAAAGTTCTCCGATGACGGCAAATGCTGCATCAGATGGCGCATTATAATGCCCGTTAAATAGGCATCCCTCATTAGCAGAATCTTCAGCAGATACGACCAGTGAGCCTCCGGAAAGGCCAGCAGCACGCGCAGATCCAATGATATGGCTGTGTTCGTGGTAAGATCGGCAAACTCAGTTACCCACTGGCAGGATTGCTCCTTGGGAAAGTAACGTGGCAGCGCGAAAATAATCCAGGCGCTGGGCAGACCATGACGCGAGCTAAACATTTCCATGTTATCCAGGCCTTTGCGAAAGACCTGTTGCGGGATATAAAGTAGAACATTCAAGAGCACGAAATAAAGGAGATGCTAATACATAGCCAGCCCACCTTAGAAAGGACACCCAAGGGCGCACCACGGAGTAACAGACAGTAGAAGAGCTCCCTGCACTTGGCATGAATGTCCCGTACGATGACACTCTGATTGCTCAGCTGGAGGCCAACATAGGCCTCGCCACTCTCACAGACATGGGGCAACAGCTCCGCAATGCACAGCAGCATGTTGCATATGTCCACGAGATGGAGTTGGGCTCGGGCTACGCTGGTCACAATCTGCGTGTAGCGCACCGTCAATACACTGAGCGTTTCATTAAGCATTCCGGCAAAGATTTTCTGTGCCATTTTTGGCGGCACAGAGTTCCAGAGATCGGTTTTGGTGCCGCGCATATAATGCCACCACATTTGCACGGTATACGAGCCGCGCTCCGATTCAAAGAACGGCTGAGTGTCCTCCCAATGCAGGCAGTCCGCATCTTGAATGATATACAAAAGCAGCAGGCGGCAGTGCAGATCCAGAAGACGTTCAGCCAATGCCTCGGACATCTGGGAATATTGCTTTAGGCTTAGCTTCAGAGCGCCACCCTTCTCATCGCCCTTGGGTGGGCATATTGTGGTCGTGGCTGCCTGCATATAGACGCTTAAAGAGTTTTTGACCAATGCGGCGGCGCCAATGGTAGCGGTGAGCACCGACAGATCCGCATGATCCAGTGACTCCTGCGACAGGCGATGTATGTGCTCCAGTAGAAGATCCGCTGACTTAGTCACCAGATTGACAAACTTATCTGGATCAGAGGTCTTCACCGTAACGCTGCTCTGCAGCGCATATTATAACAAACAGGTTAGGACTACCCCAGACATTTCCAAGAGTACACTTACGAAATCGCCCTCGTTTAGCTCCTTTTCGGTGTGCAGTAAGCCCGAATGCTTGCGATAGGAAGCAAAGTACTCATCCTCCCACCTGAAGGGAACAATATTTGGTCAACACCAAAACAAATGTGACCCTTTGGAGGGCATAGCCTACCAGCGTATTAGTTTTATCGAAGCAAACGATGCATAGCGTGGAAAGTCCAGCTTGCCACCCACAACGCCCGGACAAATGGGCTCCTGCAGCACGCGCTGATGCGTCTGCTCGTGTGGCATGTGAATCAAATCGAAATGAGAACGTGAAAACAATGTGTTAACAAGTTTTTTCTCAGAGCTCGCATTGCGGTCATTTTCGGCACCTGATAAAACTCCAAATCTCGCTGCAACAAAATGGGCACACGGTCCATTAAATTTCCCTCCTCGAGCACTTCCATTTTCTCTATATTTTTTTTTTGACCTAGTCCTTTCAGCTGGAACTGCAACACTGATTGGCCAAAATGATTTGCTATCGAGCAAACAGCTAACTTATTTTCAAATGTTGCCAGGACAACCGACTAAACTCATGATGGATGATAGAGCTTGACAGTAAAAATCCGTAAATTTTATTTGCAGCTATCTTAAATTGGATAAGCAAAGAGCATACGGACTCTTAAATTTAAAATTTTGGGTCTTATGACATACATATTTAAATTAATATGTCATTTAATTTTATTATTATTTCATATATATACCTTAATATAATGAGCGCTGTTATACTATAGTAAATTAAGAAGGGAAGTGGTTGATAGAGAAAACGTATTTTTAAAATCGTATTTTTGAAAAACGCCCTGTCATGCGTTTCCCATAAGTTCAAGTAGGCAATACAGATTTTATGGCCTGATATATTGTTCTATATTGGTCTTATACCAATTTGGCATTCTAATATGTCATGTATGTATGTAATATGTTTGTGTATATGTTATGCGTTGTTCTGAGTCCTGAGTTGCCAACGTTTTAATCTAACAATAATTTTTGTAGCTCTAAACAAATTCTAGCTGAGTAAAACACATTTTTCCAGCAAGGTTTTATCTTTAGCATTTCAATAATAGATGTTTATTGTTTAACCTAATCTCTACTAAGTATGAGATCCGATTTTAAATGGTGTAACTGTCGTTTTTGCCAGCAAGCAATCTACTTAGAGAGACGTATAGATAATGCCCAACTTTCGCTCTCCGTATGCTCGTGTGTGTATAAATATTTCTCATTTAGTATGCGATAAGCTGTGCTGTTGCCGCTGCTGCCTTTGGCTCGGACTTTCCAGCGCCTCAGTTGATAACTGAGCGGTGCAGGGAGCACATCGGCAAGCAGCGGACCTAAGTGGACAACAAAAGTGAGTGGCATTTAATTTAGCTTCTCCCTGGCTGGGATGCAGTGCTAATCAGCAGCAGACCTCGTCGCTGGGGGCGCACTCGGAATTTTTCCAGTACACATCCGACGCCCATAAAGCAGTAACAAGTGAACGCTTATCGGGGCGATACGGTGCGCGTATCAGGCGTATCAGGCCTATCAGTAATCCATAAATCTCATTGGCTCTTTCTGTTTTTTTGAGGTAGCATGATCGCACATTTGAGACATTTGACGAGACGGTTGCCCGCCCAGCATGGCCGGCTATTGTCGGGCCAACGGCAGCAGCTGCGCAGTGCCTCTTTTCTGATTGATCAGCCGGAGTACAGTTTCCTCAAGGATCTGGGTCTTGAACGTGACAATCCCGGCGTGTTTTCGGGCCACTGGCAGGGTCGAGGACCGAGCATCACCAGCTATGATCCAGGCACCGGTCAGGCCATTGCCACAGTGCGTCAGGGTAATGTGCAGGAACTGCAGCAAGCAATCGGACTGACCGTGGAGGCCTACAAGCAATGGCGCCAGGTGCCGGCACCCGTGCGTGGCGAGATTGTGCGTCAAATTGGCGACGAGCTACGCAAATACAAGGAACCGCTAGGCAAGCTTGTCTCCCTGGAGGTGGGCAAGATCTACAGCGAGGGTCAGGGCGAGGTACAGGAGTTCATTGACATTTGCGACTATGCCGTGGGACTCTCACGCATCTATGCCGGCCAGGTAATCAATTCGGAGCGTGCCCAGCACACCATATTAGAGGCATGGCGTCCGCTTGGCCTAGTGGGCGTTATATCGGCCTACAACTTTCCCAACGCCGTCTTTGGCTGGAATACAGCCATTGCTTTGACAACAGGCAACAGCGTGCTATGGAAGGGAGCGCCCAGCACCCCCCTCGTCTCCGTGGCCACCACCAAAATTGTCGCCGAGGTGTTGCGACGCAACAATTTGCCGGCCGTGGTCAGCCTCTGCCAAGGTGGCACAGATGTGGGCGCAGCTCTAGTCGCGGATAAACGCGTCAATCTGCTCAGTTTCACGGGCAGCTGCCAGACGGGACGGGATGTTGGTGTGGAGGTTCAGCGTCGTTTCGGCAAGGTCATATTGGAGTTGGGCGGCAACAACGCGTTAATTGTTGACGAGTCGGCCAATATAAAAATGGCCTTAGATGCGGCGCTCTTTGGTTGCATTGGCACCAGCGGACAGCGCTGCACCACCACAAGGCGCATCATTGTCCACGAGAAACTGCACGACAGCTTTGTGGAGGCGTTGACTGTCAAGTATGCGCAGCTATTGCCGCGCATTGGCCACCAGCTGGAGGCGCAAACCCTCGTGGGACCCGTGCACACACAGCAGAATGTCGACAGCTATAAAGCGACCATCGAGGAGGCCAAGCTGCTGGGCGGCACTGTAGCCTTTGGAGGACGTGTTTTGGAGCGTGCTGGGCATTATGTGGAGCCCACCATCATTACTGGACTGCCGCATGATGCCAGCGTTGTGCATCGTGAAACATTTGCTCCCATTGTCTATGTGCTCAAAGCGCGCGATGTGAACGAGGCTATTGCCTGGAACAATGAGGTGGAGCAGGGCCTGTCCTCGGCCATCTTCACGGAGAATATTAGCCAGGCCTTCAAATGGATTGGTGCCCAAGGTTCCGATTGTGGTATCGTTAATATTAACACCACCACAAACGGCGCAGAAATTGGCGGCGCCTTTGGCGGTGAGAAGGCTACGGGCGGTGGTCGTGAATCGGGATCAGATGCATGGAAACAGTACTGCAAGCGTGCCACCATCACGGTGAATCACTCGGGCGAACTGGCCTGTGCTCAGGGCGTTGTCTTTAACGTAGAGTAAAAGAAACGTTTGCACGGAATTCGTTTTTATTTTGTTAATCTTGTTTTTGTCGTGTTAATTGTATTATAAAAATGTCAAAAAAAAAATGCATTTCATTTGTAATAACTAATCTTAACTAAACTCTTCGAGCTGTGTTGAGCTGTGTCACAGTTCGCTGACATCAAAGCGCCAAAAGTCAACCTCAATATCCTTAGACTTCTGCTTATGGAACTTGTAGCTGGCTTCGATGTTATAACGCAATTCAGCAACTACGCTACTCCGAGCGCCCCACTCTTTGGACTTCTTTTGGATGTAAGTACTGCAAAAATAAACATAAACACAATTTCAATTATAGATAATAGAGAGTACGTTGACTTAAGACTTATAAATACTGACTTTTCTCAATACCTTCACAAACTTGTGCTCCTCATTCCTGAGTTGAAAGATTTCTAAATAATCTCCTAATCTCCGCAACAATCTTGCTTACAGATCGATAACACAGTTTTGCTTCTTATAACAGAGTTGAGAAAAAGGGTTCTTATTTATTTTGTAGATGACATATAAAACTACATAATATAGAAGAGCTTATATTATCTGTAGAAATAACTGAGAATTTCCTCAATGTTCCGTCTAATTTAGCTGCCCGCGCATATTAACTGTAATTAGTTATTGATATACCGTTCCGACTTGAATTCTGTTCTGATAGCACCATTAACATCAATAAATAAAGTACAAATTTTAAATTTACAGCCTATAGTCGATAGCATAACGTTCACATTCCTCTCTCCCATTCCAGGTACTTAGTCAGAGCATATTATTTTTAAGACTATTGCAGCTGCTCACTCACCGTGTGGAGGTTTTGTGCAGCGAGTAGACAGCTCCTGTGGCCAGACGCATGCCCACATTCAAAAACCGCATATCCATGCCAGCATTATGTTTGGTGCCAAAGGGCGGATTCATAACCACCGTGTCGAAGGCATTATCCCACTTACTGCCCGGCAATTGCAGCACATTCGCACGCACACAATCTGCATTTGGCAGCTCCATGTCCAGCACATTCTGGCGGTAAATGTCAACGGCAGCGTCATCGAGCTCGAAGCCAACAGTAAGCTGCGCTCCCAGTAATGTGGCGGCAATGCTGAGCATACCGCAACCACATCCCAGATCAGCCACAAACTTCCCCTCAATGTCGTCGTGCTGGGCTTGCATGTGGTGCGCCATGCAAGCAGCTATGTGGGGTGGTGTTGGATACTGTTCCAGCAGAATCTTTGGCTGTTCAAAGCCATCGACACACTGCAGATACTCCTCCAGCTTCTTCAGCTTTAGGCGAGCCATATGGAGGGACGTGTGTACTGTGCTAAGAAATTACTTGGCGTTGGGCGCTGCCGGTGTCGGCAGTGGCTCCAGGCGTGGCAACACGGGTATAAAACTATTTCCAAAATACGAATCCTGCGGTATAAAGAAACCCAGAGTAGTAGAGCTCGTTGGATTAAATGCAGATCGTGGCGCGCCGAGGCCGCCAGCGGCATTAGGCGTAACGCTCACGCTCTGCGGAAATTCTACTGTCACTGTCGGCTGGCCAAGCAGCTGCGGTGCGGGCATCTTAAAGGCGAATTAAAAAAACATTAAGCAGATTCAAAGAAAATGCAGCTAGAATTTACATTCACCTGATTCGTTGTGCTACCCAGCCCAATGAGCAACTGCTTCTTGGTCTGTATTTCCTCAAGTATTTTACGGTTGGTTTCGGCTTGCTGTGCACTTGATGTGGGAAAAGCCATCAAAAATAGGCGAGATTTTGTTTTAAGAACTAAACAAAACGAAATTAAATTGTTAAAACGCTGGAACACGCGTTTCTGTTTTTATTTCTATGCATTAAAGCTGTATCAAATCGTTCGGAAATTGGTTCCCACGAACGATTCATTAAACGGAACTATTGAATTAGTTCATTCAACCAACACTTGTCGGTATTTAAATACCAAAGCGATGTTTCATCATGACTATTCTTCGATGTAATTTTATAATTTATAATTTAAGTTAAATTATATATATGTCCATAAACATTCTTGATGTAAAACTCATTGAATATTGTACTATATTTCGTGATTCGCTCGAAAATAATATTTGAGCAGAATTATTTGTAATACGTGTTTAGTATTTAGGTAAATATGTTGTGTATTTTGGTGCTAACCGGTTGCTGTCACACTGAACGGTATCCAAAACGTGCGCTGGCAAACAAAATAAATAGCACGCGACCAGAGGGACGCTAGGATAAAATATCAACAAACCCGTGTGACGCCCACAGAGTGCTTTAAAATAAATTGTTTTACTTGAGTTAAAGTGAACAGGAGCTGACAAAATGAGTATGAGCGATGACGACAGAGATATTGACATCGAGAGTGACGTAAGCATAAATGCGATACGCAATTGACGTCATAAATAATATCGCATATTTCCTTGCAGGACGATGGTGACTCTGACAATGGTCTGGGCTCCTCGCGACATACAAGTACCGCAAATTTTACGCAGGTGAGCAAGCCACAGAATAGGAGGGCAATAATAATAACAGAGACCCACGCTGACATTGTTTATAAACAGACACATGCTCCCATTGTTGTTGCTGTGCTTGCTGCCTGACTTGCAAGACTGTGAAATTTGTTTGTTTTTATTATTTCAAGGCCGAAAAACGAGCACACCACAACGCATTGGAGCGCCGTCGACGAGATCACATCAAAGAGAGCTTCACCAATTTGCGCGAAGCGGTGCCTACGTTAAAGGGTGAAAAGGTGAGCAACAGTATAATTATAAAGAGCAAGGAATCCTACCCAATACAAAAAGTAGGGGACAGAAGAAAGAAAGGACCTATTTCTTTCAAATGTCTCCTCCTGCGCAGCGTCATTTTATCACACTTCTATTAAGATAGGATCTCTTGACTAAGGTAGGCTATAGGCTGACCTACCTAGGTAAATTCTGAGTTAAGAATCGTTACCAGTATTAATAATAGGAATATTGGCAATGTTTGCTAAATGAATATTTCTTATCATAAAATGTCTGACTTAGAAGGACAAAACCATATTCATGTCCCTAAAAAACTCATGTTGTAAAATTGACTAATTTCGTCATTTATCACTACAGGCCAGCCGCGCACAGATACTCAAGAAAACCACCGAATGCATTCAAACGCTGCGCCGCAAAATAAGTGAGAACCAAAAGGACATCGAGGATATTAAGAAACAGAACAGCATCCTGGATGAACAAAGTAAGAAATATCGAAAATACCCACATACACATACGAATGCTTAGCTTGCCTTGATTCCTTATCGTAGTTCGTCGCCTGGAGGGAAACACGTCAAATGGAACAGATTTCTTAAGTGGCGACGACCTGAGTAGCGATGTGGAGGATGCCTTGGAGCAAGCTGACTTCAGTCGGCGCAGTAAAAAGATGAAGACATTTCATGCATAGCCCCCAAAAAGCTAACGTGCAATGTGCAAGGTTTACGCTAGTATCGTAAACGAATCAATCAAAGCAAAACTCCAATGCGAGGGCATCGGAATCATTACAACATAAGTCCAAAGTTTTGCCCATCTATACCTTAAAAGTGTGTCTGCGAGTGTGTGTATGCTGTTTTGTACTCTTACCGAATAAAAGTTTGTAAGTATCTAAACATTTTATAAGTAAAAATACAAATCTTCTGTAAATTTGGTTGACGAGGTCCATTAAGTGCTTACATTTATGCTCTTGGATAACTGCAATAAGACAAATTGTAAATGGTTATGCGCGATATGTTAAAGAACTGAAGCACAATTATGAGTTAGCCTATATATTGTAATATACACCAGGATTCCCGCTTGAAGATTGACCACAATTTTGTAGTTATTTAAAAATATATTTAAAAAATAAAACACGGCCCGACTATTTGAACTTCAGCGTGAGCCACAGCAGCACAAAAACGAACAGGACAAAGAGGAACATGTAACACATTTGCTTGGAGCCGCCCCCCTGCTTGGCCAGACGTACGACGCGTGTCATTGTGTTGCCCAGAAATCCACCTGTCCGATCCATGTCATCGTCAATGCCGCGCAGCAGCTTGTCCTGATAGCGCACCTCATTGCCAATGTCTATGGTCAGGGATTTGAGTGCGCCTATTTTCTGTTGCAGTTCCTCGGCGGCGCGTTCGTTTTCGGCCTCCAATGCATCGTGTCCAGCTGGTCCGCTGGGAGCAGGATGCTGATTTAGGGGCTGGTATGGATAATTGTTGCGTCGCATGCTGCTGCCACTGCTGCTGCTGCCTGTGTGTGCCAGTTTTGCATCAATTTAGCTGCAATACTACGGGAAAGCCAATATTAAACTTGTGACACGTAAACCAAACGGGGACTTTCATACTCAGGGGCAAAACAGCTGCTGCGTTTGTTGTTCTTCGCGAATAGTTCAATCGCTGTGACCTGTGATTCATTCAGTAGGTTAACTATAAAAGTTACTTTATAATTAATGAATCGACAAAATGAAGATCTGTGCAATATTCAATTTGTTTAATGTAATGTTTATCAGATTAATCGAGTTTTGTTCCGAACCAGTTCGATCGCAGCTGTGACGAACGGAACTGTGTCGGCATGACACATACAATTTAAGTTCCATAATAATAATTATATTTGATCGTTCAAATTTCAGTGTTGATAAATATAATTTGATTTGCCCATATACATATATGTCATTACAGACTGAATACAAAATACTCTCTTATACATCCTCAGCTTTTTATAAGACCCATTGTGAACTTTCTAAATTTGTGAGTGAACTAGATATTGTAATCGAACTAGTAATATCGAGAAACAGCTGTGAAGAAATCACGTACGGCGTGTTTGCTTTATTAAATCCATTTGCCATAGCAACTTTTAAGCTATTTTCTAAATTATGTGAAGTGTTAAATTCCGGCGAAAATTCAGTCATTAGATTGGTTGACTTTTAAATCAAACTTAATGTATATACCTGGCATTGCGTAAATTGCCTGTACTCTAATTCGAATTCTAATTAGGTAACGCCATCAATAGAGTTCCCAAGGTAGTAATTTACAATTTAATTGCTTTAGTAAACCTTTGTGCCCCACTCAATCAACACACTTAAAATATGAAGCTGATCACATTGTTACAGTGTAGCCTGCATATCTGTTTCTTAGCAGACATGAATTTCGGCGCCACCCAGTGGGACTCCGTGATTTGGATCATGCAAATGCGTCATAATGTTGATTAGGAGCAACAAATTAGTTGCTTGTTTAAACCCTCTTAGTGATAATGATAAACGTGCGTCAATCAGTTCACATTGAGCAAGCCGAAGCACATGCAAACTATACGGAACATTTACTGATAAGGCTTCCCTTGCTCCCTTGCAGCAACAGCATCAGCATCACAAACCCGTTATGGACCCGTCAGAGGTGCTGGCCAAAAAGGTTGGCGTGCCCGTGGAGGCTTTTCGACTGCTGGTGACGCTGCTGGCCGGTAAACATATTTATTAATCAAATTAATATGCTCCTAAATAATCAGTTTTCTCCCGCAGGCTATCCAATTGCGGCGATTTATCATAAACTGATTGTTAATACACAGTTGAAGCTGTTACATCATCTGTTTTTTGCATTCTGCGGCATGACCTTATGTTATTTTAACTATGGCAAGGACACATATCACTCACTTTCGGCCATAAGCGTCACCTATGTGCTGGTTACCCTGCTGCGCAGCGCACCTCTTCTGATGCTGATAATCAATTTTATGTTTCATATGATCTACTTGCTGGTGGGCTACTACTTTACGGCCAGCAATGAATATGATATATTGTGGACGATGCCGCATTGCATATTGACCCTGCGCATGATTGGATTTGGATTCGATGTGGCCGATGGCTTGAAGCCGGAAGAGGCGCTTTCGAAAGCACAAAAGGAAACGGCGTTGCAAAAGCCACCTTCATACCTGCAGCTTTTAGCATTTGCATATTTTCCCAGTAGTTTTCTGGTTGGACCTCAGTTTCCCTACAGACGATATCAGAGCTTCACCAATGGCGAGTATCGGAAATACGATGGTTGTGTACAGGCGGGTCTTAAACGCCTAAGTATCGGTGTGCTCTATCTGTTTGTATGCCAAGTGGGCTTATATTTTCTGCCGGATAGCTATTTCTTGTCGCCGGAATTTGCGAAGCAGTCCTTCATCAAGCGCATTTACTTTTTGGGATTCTGGGGCAAATTCACACTGTATAAGTACATATCGTGTTGGCTGTTTGCGGAGGGCGGTCTAATGTGCATTGGATTTACCTACAAGGAAAAAGATGCGTTTGGAAATCCGGACTGGTCCGGCTGCAGCAATGTGAAGTTGTCGCTACTTGAGACCGGAAACACCATGCAGCACTATGTGCAGAGCTTCAATGTAAACACTAATCAATGGGTCGGCCACTATATATTCAAGCGCCTGAAGTTCCTTAACAATCGCAATATCAGCTACGCGGCGGCATTGACTTTTCTGGCTGTATGGCACGGTTATCACAGTGGCTATTACATGGCATTCCTAATGGAGTACATGATTGTCAGCACTGAAAAGCAGGTGAGTGCCTGGATGAGTTGGGTTTATATGATGTATATTTATATACGATAATATTTACAGATTGAATTCGTTTATACCAAACACGTGCTGCCCCAATATGGTGAAATGTTAAACAATTCCCAGATCTATACTGTACTCAATTTCTTGTGCTTAAAATCGTACAATATCATCTACATGGGCTGGTGTCTCACCTCGTTTGTCTTTCTCAAATACGAACGCTGGATTACCGTGTTTAGTGCAGTCAACTATTTTGGGTTCATATATATGCTCATCTGGGCGTTCATGTATAATGGCTATCGTTACTATACCCGCATCCAGCCCAAGGATCGGCAAGCAGGGCCAACAACTATAAAACAATCCACAGATTAGTGAATCAGCGTATTAACAATTTAAAAACCATTCAAAATTTTTAAAACAATTTAATTTGTTTCCTTTAACTTGACACAAAGCCGTAACTAAAATACGCTACCGATAAATAATAATATATAACTTTGTATCGAATGTAAAAAATGTAAGGCAAACTATAAATTTAACTCGAGATGCGTTGATTGTTAGCTTGTCATATCTTTTGAATCCTTTGCCGTTGCATTCATCATTAAAGCAATGTCTAGTCAATGAAAATAGTTTCGTTGCTCTTTGTACATAAAATGCTAAACGGCGTCGGGACTTATCTAACTTAAACGACAATTTAATGCCCTACTTAAGTAAACTCATAATATATTTTGATATATTCATGAAATGTCATTAAGCACTGCACATGAAAAGAGCAACTTTAAATAAAATCAAAGCAAAGAAATTGGATAGTTAAAAATGAAAAACTTTGAGATTTATAAATCCTTGTAAATACTGTATAATCATAAGATTTAAAGAATAGATTCGCTAACTTTTAAATCACCACAAAGTATTGACCACGGCTAATAACTGATATTAAGGATTCTGTGTTTTCAGGCTATTTACGTACCACGTCTTCTAAAAATCCGCAAGGATATGGCCGAGGTAGAGCTATTTTTTTAAAAAGAAAATTATTTTTTTGCCATAACTCGGCCAAATCCTTGTAGATCTGGCAAAGACCTTTCTCTCCCGCCTGCTATAGCTAAGGGTCCGATTGTATTAGCAGTTATAATCTAATATATACTGCCAAATACTTATGGATCAGGTAAGGACACACTATGTAACTCGCAGAATTCAGGACCATCGATTGCTAATTTGAATGTGATTTGATTTATTTGCAGGTCTAGCAGCAATGGAGAACGTTTGCGCATTACGAGACCCAAGTGTCCCAGGGGTGACAGATATCTCAAACATAGAATGATATAGCACCACATCAGGTTGCTCATTGAGATACAAGGTAAGAGCATAAGCCTAAAGTGTATCTGTTCATGTTACATTATCCAATAATTCCAGGTGATTTTGGACCAACAGCATTGCTAATTTGATGTCGGATATTTTGTAGCAGCTTAATCTGAGCGCATCTGTTGTACGTCTTCCAATTATCTCGACCTAGATTACGTAAACTTAAATCTATTGTGCAGCCTGAAGCAGACTGTTTGCTCTTTCTTTCGCGCCTGTTATTGCCATGGTATTGACAGCTTCCGGCGTAGATGAGGCCGCGGGCTGTCGACTCTGCTGCTGCCATTCCCTTCAGTTTGCTGAGTTGATAGCTAGGTAAGTCACTTCTAGTCTCATTGCTTTTGAAACCCAATACCGCACAAAGGACGGAACTCCTGCAATAAGTTGAGAAAGTAGACCTCAGCTCGGTTATATCTTTCCTGATCTTGATGAGTCCTATATCAACTAATTTGTAAAGACCAGGCGTACCAACTGTGCAAAGGATTCCAAACACGACCTTGTGGTATGATATAAAAAGGATATTTATAACCGAATCGGCCTTAAATTGGCCATTTCAAGCACAATTCCGATGGCCTTTGGCCGACATGCAGTCTTTGCCTTATCAATTTAGAGTATGTAATAAAAAGGACGAAAGTTCTTCAAGGAGCTGAGAAACATAGGTATTTGCCTGTAAAGAAAGAAGGCTGTAGATCGGCCGTATCCTTGCGGATCATGATGTCCTTTGGTCGACCGATAGTCCTCAACCTCCCGATTAAGAAAAGGCAATGAAAAGGACGAAAGTCCTTTAGACAGCCTAGATATGAATACAATTCTTTTGTTAATTAGGAAAGCCATAACTCGGCCGTATCCTTGTGGATCCTTACAAGTCCTGTGTCAAACAACTCGTATGAACAAGGACCATAAGCTGGCCAAAGGACAACAAAATCGTCCTTTTCGTTTCCGAAATATGGCCAATTTTCTAAAAAGGATATTTTTTAAATAGCCGTAAATCGGTCAAATCCTTAAGGATATCGGAAGGATATACCGTTTTGAACTCGTAGGAAGCAGGACTATCGAATGGCATTCAAGAATTTCAAGGATTCGACAAAAAATTTCACTCAAATTTTTTCTAGGGGGTTAGTCGCAAAATTGACCAAAATCAAAAAATTCCGGGCTAACTTTGCCATTTGAAGGGCTATCGGGACGTCCTTTGGCCAACAGATAGTGTTCATCCTCCCATTTAATAATTTACAACTCAAAGGACGAAAGTCCTTCAGACAAAAATGTTTTAAGGACGATTTCGTTGGAGGAAAATAAGCCATAACTCGACCATATCCTTGCATATCCTGCCGAGCTATGTGTCAAAATAATTGTATTGACCAGGACTACCAACTGGCCAAATTTCACTGATATCGTCCTTGTAGTTTTGGAGATATTTAAGGATTTGTGTTTTCGGCTCATTTCCGTGCGCGCCGTGACTTAAATTTTACAAGTCAAATTTCGGGTCATATGATTCTTAGATGACCCCATATTTTTTTGATGCAGATCAATGCAGGGGGCTTAAACGATCCTAACGCACCATGTCCTTTGAATATCTGCAAGGATATGACCGAGTTATGTCCTTTTTTCTTTACATAAAGTACTCTATACATTTTTTTACTTTTTTAATTTCAATGTGTTTTTATCTTTATAGATTGACAAATTAAGGACTACAATGAATTCCAAGGACCTCCACGAGGGACAAAGCAAATTTTTTCAGGACAGGACTTTAATTAAGCCAGATATAGCCATTTTATGTTCTAATAAGCTATATATGTTATTTATACTCGATTTGTATAATTTTGAGAGAAATAATTTAAAAAAATAATCAAATAAATGAATTATTTAAATGTAAACTCCTGTTTTTTTATTTCCAAGGACAATGCGGCTAAAATTTTAAATTAAATGAAATAATTCATTGCATACCCACAAGGGGCGTCTGTTGGCAATCGCTGGCGCTGGAGTTATGTCGTTTTGGAACGTCATATCTCCATTGGCAACCGCTTGCGCTGGAGTTATGTCGTTTTGGAACGTCATAGCCAGATATAGTTATTTTTAAAATACCAGGCGAACAGAAATGTCCAGAAGGTCGAAAAAAAAATGGCGAAAAAATTTCATTGCATATCCAAAAGGGGCGCCCTCGTCGGCGGCTGGGTCCAAAATTTTAACTAAAATTTCCCAAAAATACCAGGCGAACATAAATGCCCAGAAGGTTGACGTACAATATTTTTTCGGCCGAAAAATGACGTAGTTAAAAGGGGCACCCTCGCGCCGGGCCCAAATTTGCACTAAAATTCCACTCAAATACCAGGCGAACAGAAATGCCCAGAAGGTCGACGAGTGGTTTGAATAAAAATTTTCATTGCATAGCATTAAGGGGCACAAATGTAACTCAAGTGCTGTTAATTATGAGTTTATGTTCAATGAGCGCCTTAAGCCGCCTGTTAAACAACAGCTGCAGCTGCAGCTAATGTAAAAGGGCTCCTGAAAGAAAAAGCATACATGTTTTTGGACCATTTTAATGCACATTTTGCAGGGATCTGATCCTCTAGGTTTCCAAGGACTATATCGATGGTACGGTATAACCAAGGATATGCTAGTCAACTAGAAACCATCCAGGGGGCGGGGCTGTTGGTGGGGGCCCCTGTAAAAAGAAGCATACATATTTTTGGACCATGTTCTTGCGCATTTTGCTAGAACTAGGTCCTTTAGGTTCGCTAGGACTATTTCCATGATACGGAATAACCAAGGATATAGAGGTCAACTAGGCACCATGAATAGCTATCATTTGCTGATTATATGTTGTCCATTGCTGTAGCAGATTTGGCTGAAAAATACAAGATAAAAAATGTATTAATTTAAAAGATGTCTGTTATATTACGACCAATTTTTGAAAGACAGACAAAAATGTTGTGAAAATCTTGAAAATCGTCAGCGCTTTAAAAAGTGACTTAGTAAGACTAAAAAATGTTATACCTTTTTCAACTCGCACGGATCTCTACTATCGATTGGCATTTAAACCAATTAAAAATCAATAGGCTTAATTAACGTTTTTGTCAAATTAGTGTTCACTATTCAAAGGTAGATAACGCATAAGCAATCACATACAATCATAGTAAGATATCATTTACGAAAACACACCCAAACCAATGTATGCAGAGATAATCGAAATGTACACGCATATATGTGTATATGGCTGCTAGTGCACGCTGCTAATAGGTTAAAACAAGACATGTACATTTTCTGTACACCGATTTCTACATATAAATTATTCAATTTTATATTACCAAGCCAATTAATAGATTTAATCTGTATGAGTTCAAAAAGGTATATTAATAAATGCCGGTACATGTCCTTACTAACAAAATAATAGGCTTAATAGACTATCGCTCGCAGCATAACAACATGCCATATTGACTAACAGTGCCACACTAACTCAGAATAAAATTGCTCAGGTCCGTAAAACCGGCGCGCAGAAAAGAGAGCAGGCAAGCGACCAGCAGTAAACTACAATGCAAACTCTCTTTGATTGGACCAATCAGCGATCAGCACCAAAAAAGTCGTGAGTGCATGAGCGTAAGTAGATAAATGACAGCGAACACCCACACAAACAGGTGACTGCTTATCTCTGGCTCCAGAGCATCTCTGCACATACACGTGTTTGTGTGGGTGTGTACGTTGGTCAACGCGTCGCATAGTTATCACTCGAATTTTGATCGCTTGCTACTTTTCTGTGCGCCGGTTTTTTTCTCCGCTTAAGTCACGCGCAATGTAACACTCTGAGTTGAGCTCAGTCAATATGAACGTGTTTTTTTTAGAAGCTGCCGAGTCCAAAAGGGTATTATGCTTATTTTATTTAGCTAATTTAATAGCTGCCTTCCTAGAAATTTGTTAAAACAAAAACGTAGAATTTTACCTCCAGTTGCAGTTTTTGTTCTCAGATTAGGCTAAAAAATACAAAATGAAAAATGCATTAGTTTTTGTAAACAAAAATATATCGATTAAATACCTTTAAGTATTCTTGAAGATTTGGCAACAACTTGACATTTTTTCAATTGTCGAAATATAGCAATTTCCAGTTACCGATGATACTGAATATATTACTGTCCATAAGCTTGGCAAATTTGGCTAAAAGACAGAATGATGTCCATTGCGAAACACACACCCAAATATATGAATGCAGAGATAATCGCCAATAGCTCAAAACAAGACTTTTCTTCTGTGCGCCGATTTTCTTTGTTCGCTTTGCATTCACTAATATAAGCTCTCTGATAGTTTGACCTCCGCAGTCAATATCACATTAATAAAAATATTTAAATTAAATTAAATAGTAAACTGCAACTCGCAGTATAACAGCATGATAACTTGACTAATGGGACCACACTAACTCAGAATAAAGTTGCTCATGCCCGTAAAATCGGCGCTCAGAAAAAAGAGCAGGCAAATGTACAGCAGAGAACTTCAATGCAAGCTCATATTAATTGGACCAATCAGCGATCAGCCCCAAAAAAGTGGTGTGTGCATGAGCGTAAGTGGATAAATGACAGCGAACACCCACACAAACAGGTCACTGCTTATCTCTGGCTCCAGAGCATCTCTGCACATACACGTGTTTGTGTGTGTGTGTATGCTGGTCAACGCGTCGCATAGTTCTCACTAGAATTTTGATCGCTTGCTAATTTTCTGTGAGCCGGTTTTTTCGTCCGCTTGAGTCACTCGCAATGTAACACTCTGTTATTTTATCAGCAGTCTATATTAACATTTTTTTATAAGGAGCTCCTGACCCGAGTATATATTTTAGGAGCGGCCGTTATGTATATATTATTTAGCTTATTTATGCTAATAGTTGCCTTAGTCTTAGGAATTTGTTTGAATAAATATGTAGACAAGACATAAGGCTTGGATTTAAAAATGTATGTCGATGCAGAAACCGCTAGATAGTAAAGTACACATATAGGCAGACGTGTCTGATTAAATTTGGATACATTAACCATTTTGAACTTGTGCGGATCAACTCTATTGATTGGCATTAAAAAAATTATATTTGACAAATGGCAAGCGATTTCATTACAATTTTTTCCCAAAAAAGGGGTCAAACATTTTTTTGTTGGTCATAACTCGGCCAAGTCCTTTAGGATATGGCTGGGACACGCCTTAATAAGAGAGAACGTTCTGTTCGTTGTTCTGCTCAATATATTCGGGTCGTCTTGCGCCGTCTGAACTGCGCTTCTTTATTTATTTAATTTCATCAACATATGTAATATATAATGGGGCTCTATAAACCAAAAGTAAATCATAATAAAAAGTAACATTCCACGTTTTAGATACAGTGCATTTTGTTTACATATTTATTTCTGTTATTCTGTAAATGATGAGAGAATGTGCGAGTTTTTGGCGATTACAAACTAATGCTCCATGGCCTGCGCATCGCCGTCTCCGGTGTCTAAACGGCGCTTGGCCCCTCCACCAGCAACAGCTGCGGCTTCCTCCTCATGCTCACTGATCTCGCTAAACATGTAATCATCCTGGTACTCCTTTAGTATTTTACTCGAGCGATTCTCATCCAGAAATAGAGAGTAAACCTTTTTCACGTCCTCCGTGTTCACTTCGGTTGCCTTGCGACGACGACAAACTAAATTGGCCGTGGTTATCAATTGTATGGCATAGCGCAGACTTGTATCGGTGGCGATGCGTGTTAGAATGGTCAGAGCGTCGGGATGCATGATGCAGTCCTCCTCTTCGCAGCGTATCTTGAGTATCTCCTTGACCTCCTTTTCAGTGTATGGAACGGTGCGTATGATGATCATGCGATCCAGCAGATCGATGGGTATGCCATGTGGACTGCGGTAATTGGTGCCGCGAATTCGAGTTATTCCGCGATTGGTGGCCATAACTACGACTGGTGCCATATCCGACTCTAGGGCCCGATTGAGATATGAGAAGCACTCTATGTCTAGCATGTGCACTTCGTCAATAAACAGGACGCCTGGATTTATCTCGGCTTTGCCCTCCTCACGCCACTCCAGTACCTTGTTATTAATCTGATCGCGCACCTCCTGTTTGATTTCGCCAGTATCCCCCGAGAACAGGGCCAAAAAGCCATGAGTGCGACTGTTGATCACATCGATCTCGTGGAGCGTAACTGTGTGCACCACTTCCTTGCGCTTCTGCAGCTCCCCCTCGGGACACTGCACAAAACGTGTCTGTGCTCCAGTGGCATCGTAGTCGCGAGCGCGTGTAAAGCTGCGACCCAGCTTGTTCACTTTGCCGGAGGCTTTGTCTATGGTTATGACGTCGCCGGCCTGAATCTTCTCTTTCATGAAACATTCGATGATTTTGTTGCCCAGGTCGTAGTTGGTTTCCATTTCGGTGGTTTTAAGTGTGACTTTGCCCACCTTTTGCCCGGTGCCTGTTGCGGGGCGTTCAATTTGAATTTCGACAACTTCGCCCTCTATAATCTCAGTCTCTTCCTTGATACGGACACCGATGCTCTTGCGTAGCGCTTGGGATAGCGCCTCCGTTTTGCTCATCTCCAGCGAGTAAATCTCCGATCCAGACATGCTTGTAAATGGTGTTTCAGTGCCCAATGCCTGAGCCATGCCCACTGCAATAGCTGTCTTACCAGTGCTGGGCTCGCCTGCAAGTAAAATACAACGTCCGGCGATTTTTCCCTCGCGCACCATTTGAACTACAACTCCGGCGGCACGTCGTGCATCCTTCTGACCCACCATACCCTGGGATACAGCACGTGCCTCCAGAACATCATCTAGCCCAAGGCCGCGGATATGGGAATGGGCGCCAATGCGCTCGATGCGCGTTATGTCGCGCACCTCAATTTTCTCAGTTTCTCCCATGATTTATGATTTTAAAATTCACTTGCTAAGGCAAATTAGTTATTTTAGATTTCTCGCCAAGATTTGTTTAGAAGGATTCAACAAATTGAATGAATTTGTAATATTTTGTTGCTCGGCAACATAAAACAAAAAGCCGGCCCGATAGGCCACACATGTGTTTAAGTATCGATATTTCTTTCGCATAAAATGTTCGTCACGATAGTTCGATATCCGCTTAATTTCAAAACGATACTTTTTAAGAAGCAAAAAACAGTCATACCACTAACCATAACTGTTTGTACGTATGCTTAGTGTCGATATTTCTGTCGCATTGATTATATCGATATTTCCTTGCGGTGGGACTGCGTCAAAATGATAATCCCGCCAAACTTAATTTAAATATTTAAGCTCATGAGAAGCAAATATTAATACTTAAAATTGCAGAAACAATCGTATCAGATATTTAAGTATTATAGACAAATGACTATTAACACTACGACTTATTTCTCCCTAAAATGAAATCTTAATATATTTAGTACACTTTTTTGTCTTTCGACAAACATTTCACGGCAGTGTGTCTTGGTTATTATTAAATATTAATTACAATTTCAATTGATGTACGAAGTATAAAATGGCAGTAAGACTCTTAAATTAGTAGCAAAAACTTAAATGCTTAAGTGCGTCAAATACAAACAGGTTAGTGGTTAGCTATAGATGATTACAATTTGAGCCCCATTGAACTGCTGATGGCATCCTTAGCACTTGCCGTTAGACGGCGCCTTGGGACGACAGATTTTACTGCGTCCATTCGCACCGTAGACAATATTGCAGGAGAAGGTAAAGTAGCCGCACGTCGACGACTTCGTATAGTATGTGGACTGGAAGTTTTTGTTCTCCTGTGGCGGGTTCTTTGAATTGTCCATGCTGCCAGTCACTGACTTGGTGACTGTCACATAGCTGTCTGGTGCACGTGGCTTGTGGGCGCCCTCGTCAGCTACCTTAGCATCGCCTTCCTCGGCACTGATGTCCACCTTCTTTTCGGTGTTGTGCAGTTCTAGTGCTTTTGTGTGAAACTTCTTTTCCACATTCACAGTGCCGCGGAAGCCACTGGGCACAGATTCGGTGGTGGTGCGGACGGGATATGTATTAACACGTCCGTTTTGATTCTGCACTACTCTATACTGGCCAGCGTTCGGGTTGGCTACCACCGCCTGCTGATTTTGAGTGGGAGATGATTGCCTATAGGTGATGGGTTCAGCCACAGGTGCTGGTGCTGCGCCAGGCTCCTGGTTTTTGATCTGGCTAGTAGTTGGGGGACTTTCTTCGAGTTTCACTGGCTTTTCGTTGTAGTAATCGTCCTCGTCATATTCATCATACGGTTCCTCGTCATCCTCTGCTTCCTCATCGTCGGTAATTGTGGGCTGTGGTTGACCCAGCTTATTGCTTTCACCTTTGTCACTGAGCTCTTTGCTCGTCTTTGACGACTTCAGCTGAATCTCTGGTATATCAGATTCGGAAGCAATTGCTGGGCCGCTAAAAACGGCGTCCACCCGATCGGTAACACTGGAAATAAATATTTGACCTGCCTTGCTATTTCTTCGCATGATAGAAAGTTATAATACTTACGCGTTTCCAGTGTTGCCGAACTGACTAATTGTATTGAATAGCTCCCTGTTCTGTTCGCGATACGTGGCCACTTGTTCCTTCGTTCCCGATGCAGATTGTGCGGCACCATGATACGAGACGCCAAAGCTGTACGGCGATATATATGAATTTAGTTAAACAAATGCGCAACTCGATTGGGCTAACCTGGATGTGCCGTGTATCTGGGACTGACTCTGGCCTGAGTGACTGCCCGACTGTGCCGACGCTTGCCCACCGCCTGATGCAGCTGATGAGCTAGTATCCTGACCAGGACGGAAGCCGATTTGTGCTTGCGATGAAGTCTGACCTGGTCCGCTGGATTGTGCATCAGCCAGGCCGCCTTTATCATTGGCCTGCACTTCGCTCTGGCTCTGGTGTATGATACCGCCGCTCTGTGAGGAGGCCTTAGTGCCGCCATCCTTACCATTAAGTTGGACTTGAGCTTGGGATTGAGAAGGACCGCCAGAGCCCTGAGACTGACTCATTGCACCATCTTCATTGCCAGTCACTTGTGCGCTCGCAGTACGATCTGCGTCAGAGGTCATTGCGCTGGCGCTGAACGAGCTGCCCTTGCTGTAGGCGCCAGACACTTGCGTCTTAGCAGTACCTCCATTCTTCTTGCCCTGGGCGCTAGCCGATGCTTGGCCGTCGCCAATAGCGGACTCAGCTTGCGAGAAGGCATCGTCAACACCGCCAGTGCCAGCAGCCCCAGGTACAATGACTGCTCCTAAGCCAGTTCCGGCATCTGTATACCGTCCAGGAGCACCAATTTGGCCTCCACCAACTCCAGATGGTCCTCCAATACCAGGTTGAGTTCCGTAGCCGAATTGTCCACCACCAACTCCAGACGGAGTACTAACTGTTCCTGGCAGACCACCATTTTGACTGCCAATTCCAATCTGACCTCCGCTTATTCCAGGCTGTCCGCTTATAGCTGGCTGAGTTCCGTAGCTAATTTGCGTTCCAGCAGTTCCAGGCTGGGTTCCATAACCAAGCTGACCACCTGTCTGTCCTCCTGCTCCCGGCTGAGTTCCGTATACACCGGCAATACCAGGCTGTCCCCCAATTCCTGGTTGCGTACCATAGTTCGGCTGACTACCACCAATACCGGGTTGTCCTCCTGCACCAGGTTGCGTTCCGTATCCAGCGGCAATTCCAGGCTGCCCCCCAACTCCTGGTTGCGTACCATAGCCCGGCTGACTACCTCCAATACCGGGCTGTCCTCCTGCTCCCGGCTGAGTTCCGTATCCACGGGCAATTCCAGGCTGCCCCCCAACTCCATAGCCCGGCTGACTACCTCCAACACCGGGCTGTCCTCCTGCACCAGGTTGCGTTCCGTATCCACCGGCAATTCCAGGCTGCCCCCCAACTCCTGGTTGCGTACCATAGCCCGGCTGACTACCTCCAATACCGGGCTGTCCTCCTGCTCCCGGCTGAGTTCCGTATCCCCCGGCAATTCCAGGCTGTCCCGCAAGTCCTGATTGCGTACCATAGCCCGGCAGACTACCTCCAATACCGGGCTGTCCTCCTGCACCAGGTTGTGTTCCGTATCCACCGCCTATTCCAGGCTGAACAATGCCTATTCCGGGCTGTTCTCTTGCTCCCACCTGTGTTCCGTATGCAGGCTGACCACCGCCAATTACAGGTTGCCCTCCAACTCCTGATTGGCTACCATATCCAGGTTGTCTACCGCCCGTTCCAGGCGGTACCACTGCTCCTGATTGAGTTCCGTAACCAGGCTGACTACCACCAACTCCTAGTTGACTACCTGCTCCAGGTTGACTCCCGTATCTAGGTAGATCACCCCCAACTTCTGGTTGGATACCAAAGCCAGGCTGAATACCTCCAATAGCTGCTTGTCCTCCTGCACCAGGTTGTGTTCCATATACACCGCCAGTTCCAGGTTGTCCTCTAATTCCTGGTTGGGCTACATAGCGGGACTGGCTATCTGCAATACCGGGCTGTCCTCCTGCACCAGGTTGCGTTCCGTATCCACCGCCAATTCCAGGCTGTCCAACTCCCAGTTGTTCACCGTAGCCAGGCTGTCCGCTAGTTCCGGTTTGTCCTCCAACACCAGGCTGAGTTCCATATCCAGATTGACCACTGCCGATTGTTGGCTGAGATCCGTATCCAGGCTGACCACCTGCAATTCCTGATTGCCGTGCTCCTGGCAAAGATCCATATCCAAGCTGATCCCCGCCAATTCCAGGCTGTCTTCCTGGTACAAGTTGAGTTCCGTATCCAGGCTGACCACCTCCGATTCCTGGCTGTCCTCCTGCTCCAGGCTGAGGCCCGTATCCAGGCTGAACACCTCCGATCCCTGGCCGTCCTCCTGCTCCAGGCTGGGGCCCGTATCCAGGTTGACCACCTCCGATTCCTGGCTGTCCCCCTGCTCCAGGTTGGGCACCATAGCCAGGCTGACCAACGCTAATTCCAGGCTGCCCTATGCCAATTCCAGGCTGAGTACCGTATGCAGGCTGAATACCGCCAAAGCCAGGCTGTTGTGACCCAGCTCCAGGCTGAGTACTGTAACCAGGCTGTCCCCCCCCTATTCCAGGTTGTGATCCAGCTCCAGGCTGAGTACCGTACCCAGGCTGACCACCGCTAGGCTGTCTTCCTGCTCCAGGCTGAGTTCCGTATCCAGGCTGACCACCTCCGATTCCTGGCTGTCCTCCAGCTCCAGGTTGGGGTCCGTATCCAGGCTGACCACCTCCGATCCCTGGCTGTCCTCCTGCTCCAGGTTGAGGCCCGTATCCAGGCTGACCACCTCCGATCCCTGGCTGTCCTCCTGTTCCAGGCTGAGTTCCGTATCCAGGCTGACCACCTCCGATACCTGGCTGTCCTCCTGCTCCAGGTTGGGGTCCGTATCCAGGCTGACCACCTCCGATCCCTGGCTGTCCTCCTGTTCCAGGCTGAGTTCCGTATCCAGGCTGACCACCTCCGATACCTGGCTGTCCTCCTGCTCCAGGTTGTGGTCCGTATCCAGGCTGACCACCTCCGATCCCTGGCTGTCCTCCTGCCCCAGGTTGAGGCCCGTATACAGGCAGACCACCTCCAATTCCTGGCTGTCCTCCTGCTCCAGGTTGGGGTCCGTATCCAGGCTGACCACCTCCGATTCCTGGCTGGCCTCCTACTCCAGGCTGCACACCGTACCCAGGTTGACCGCCGCCAGTTCCAATCTGTCCACCGACTAGTCCAGGGTAAGTTCCTACTCCAGGTTGAGTGCCGTATCCTGGCTGAACACCTCCGATTCCAGGATGTCCCCCTGCTCCAGGTTGAGTTCCATAACCTGGTTGACCACTGCTAGTTCCAGGCTGCCCGCCACCAATTCCAGGCTGGACTCCTACTCCAGGCTGAGTACCGTATCCAGGCTGACCACCGCCAATGCCAGGCAGTCCAGGCTGAGTACCGTATCCAGGTTGAATGCCACCGATTCCCGGCTGTCCACTAGTTCCTGATTGGGTACCATAGCCGGCCTGACTAGCGTCAGATCCGGGTTGTCCTCCTGCCCCATCTCCACCTATTCCTGGTTGGGTTCCATAGCCAAGCTGACCTATTCCTGGCTGTCCTCTTGATCCAGTTTGAGTTCCGTAGCCAGGCTGGCTACCGCCGCTTCCAGGCTGTGCTCCGGTTCCATAACCAGGCTGAATGCCATCGGATTCAGACTGAACACCAGGTTGTCTTCTGACTCCATCGGTGGGCTTACCAATACCAGATCCGGGTTGCCCTCCAATTCCATATCCGGGCTGCGAACCACGAGACCCAGGGTGACCACGTCCTGCGATTGCGGGCTGGCCGTCACCTCCATAGCCGGGTTGAGTGCCTCCTATTCCAGGTTGAGCGCCAGGTTGGCCTCCTGCTCCAGGTTGAATACCGGGCTGTCCGGTAGCTCCAGGCTGAGCACCTGGCCGTCCCGTTCCAGATCCAGGTTGCCCATCTATTCCGTAACCCGGCTGACCGCCACCAATGCCAAACTGATTATATCCTCCTGGCTGTGTTCCATAGCCAGGCTGACCAGCAACAGATCCTGGCTGTCCTCCAGCCGTAGCACCAGCTCCGCCTTATACGACAATTCCATTAATGCCTTTTATTTGTATTTTCCAAAAAACTCACCAGAGCCTGGTAGACTAATTATAGCATCAGGTCTGCCGATGCGATCTGGAACAAGAGAAGCGGCACCATCGACGCTGGGACCACTTGGATACAAAGCTGCGCCACCAGAACCTGGGTATTCCGCATGATATCCGGAGCATCCACTACAATCTCCACCGGAGAATTGACTCTGGGCTTGTCCCATGCCATGGCTACCAGCTGCAGAATTTATCGGGTTAGAGATATATGCGGATAAGCAATATATATACTATATCTGTCTTACAAACAGTTGAACGCGAACCACTCTCATTAGCCTCCGCCTCAGCCTTGCCATCCTGTTCGGGCTTGCCAAAGTTTAAGTACTGAGACTGTGTTTGTCCACGGACACTGCAAGTGATATATATTATTTGTACAGATCTCTTATTGAGTGTTACATTATTTGGCTTCTTACTAGCCTCTGCCGCTTCTTTTGGTTCGCTCTAATTCAGTCAGGGGAGTCAGCTCGGCATCATCATCCATAGATGATTGATCCTGTTGTTGATAATCAATTTGAATAATTAAGTTCAATGCTAATGTCAGTCTAATCTCAATCATTCAGTTGGTGTTTGAGCTAATTCAGTTTCTAAAACTGACCTTGGTCACAAGTCTACCAACGTTTGGTTCTTATCTCACTTTATTTGGGCCGAGTTCATGTGCATTGAACTGTTACATTCACGAATAATTTCAATTAAATGTTCTCTCTCTCTCCCTCTATCATACACTTAATTTAATTCATCAAGTTTCATTAACAATTTTGACACTTACTATGGCCGCTCCATTTGTGTATGCTATGAGCAGCACCATGCCAAGCAGCAGGCCCCATCGAAAGGGCAACATTTCAATAAATCTAATTTGAATCCAATGGAAACGCGTGCTCGAAGAGAATAGACCCAGCAAACTGTAAATTGAAATTGAATCGTATTATCAGCACAGTTTCTTGATTAATATGTGTACATATATACACGTTTTATTTCTTTATAAGTAATTTTTTAATAGTTGTCGTTTTCTCCTTCAGGCGTAGATCGTTGCTCCTCTCGGTATCTGCCACAAGGGGTTATCACCAAAGACACTTTGTTAAAATGAGTACGCAAATGCCAAAAAAAATAAAAATAAAATCAAATATAAACTACAAATGACGTAATGTTATGTGCTGGCAAATATTCTTTTGAAAATATTCTTATGAATGCGCGTATAGACTTTATGAATTTCAAACGATACATATTCTCTGATTCCGAATCAAATAGAAAAGCACAATTGTCCAAAGAGTCATTCAAATAAAAAAAATGTCTTATTTTTTTTTTTATGAATTGTTTTCATCATTTTTGGTTTCTTGAAAAATCTGGATCGAAATCGTTTTACAGAAGTTCCACTTTTATAAAGTTCGAATAGTGCACACTTTCACCTTTTATTAACCTTAACATTATTTGCGAATTCGCTTAAATATTTGCATTTAAATACCGAGTGTTTAGCTTAAAGGATGAAAGTCTTATATCCTTCTACAATTTTAGTAATTCATATATATATATATATATATATGAAATAATCTTTTATTCGTTTGGAAAGTGGGTTTTATCAGCTTGGACTTATCCTTGACACAGTTAATGCAGTGATAATTTATTATAATTTCATTCACTTGTCTTAGTCGCAAATTCGTAATCCGATATCTCAGAGAGATTATAACTAGTATTCACATATCCTTTTTTTAAAGTTTTTTAAGTATTCCACAGTAGGCTATTACACATACTTCTTCGCCTTTGCGTGTAGGATCCAAATTTAAGTTCCGATCTGCAGCCGAACGCGACAACTGCTGGATTGCGAATAACGTAACGACGCCAGAGCATGGAGACGTAAAGTTCTCAAGCTGGAGCTAAATTCATTGAAAGCAAGCAATTTCAATACATTTGCATGTAGCAGAATGAATATTTATTTAGGATTAACACCCAGACACTGACAGCACTTCTACGCCTGGCTCTGGCTCTGGCTCTGGCTCTGACTCTGCCTTATCGCGTGTACAGCTACACACACACACTCAGAGCACAGAGACGAACCACTTAAGGCTGGGCCGCGACGTCAGTGCTATTCGTTTGAGTCTATGTCTATTCCATTACATATCAACACTTTGATCGTGTCAATCGATCACTTGGTTTGGGGCGCCCCATTGAATGCGTCTGTGTTACAACATCGTCGCAGATGGGGAAGAGACTTTTGACCCATTTTAGGGAAATGCGTGGCCATTTATTAGCATATAAAGATACTCAATTGTGTATATCTTGTATACTTACACTTTTTCCGCTTCGTCTTTTTCTACTTCTTCTTCTTGTTCATACTCTTCCATTTTCAAGTGTGTCCCCCCGGCCGGCTCATTAAATATGCATGTGGCTTCGTGGTCTGTATGTTGCAATTGTCCGTCCCTTGCGTTGGGTAGACTCTCAGATCCGCGGCTATGTTTTGTTTTGGATTCTTTTTAATGATCTTTAGCGGAAGCATTTTGCGCTTGATAACCTCTGTGTTTCCTTAGCAGCATTGTCATATCTATAAATAGAGCTTACTAGTATCGCTAAGCATTCCAATGTTAAGCTCGAGTTTTCCTTATCTGTCACCAAAATTGTTTAATATTTGTTTATTTGTATTCGAGTATTGAACCGTACATATACACATATATATATTATAATTCGAATAGAGTTTGTCCTCTTCGGCAAGTGGAGGCATGCTGACATTGTACAGAAACTTCATTTTGTTTTTGCAGTGAGCACACTAATTTGGATTCTCACGGACTACAACTATAAACTGACATTCCAAAAGCAAACTGTAAACCTTAGCCAAAAATGGAAAGAACATTTTTGACAAAAGATTGAGTTGATTTTGGTATGGTATACGCTCATACGGTACACGAGAGATATATCATTCCATAAACGGCATTTTAAATGTCTTACGAATCCAAATTATTCTATTATTATCGATTTTTACGATATTTCATTCAATAATTTCGGAGTTGAGCGGGCGATTAATAGGCGAAAAACAATTAATTTCGACGTTTTACTTTTTATCAGAAATAATTTAAGCCCAATTCATACCTTTGGATTTAAGTCTGGGAATGGAAGTGCAAATTGGTAAAGTTATGCATAAAATTTGAATAAAAAATCTTGTCCCGGGCAAAGCCGGGAAGTGCCCGTTAGTACAGAAATCGATTTTAAGGCTTGCGCGTTTTTTAAGTTTGTTTCAAGGGTAGCAATATTCTTAATTAAAACGCACTCAGAGAGCCGAAGCAACCTAGTTTGATAAGATCAACAAGAAGCAAACTTTTCATTAATAACTAATTGCCTAGGCCTATTGAAATAAATTTGCATGCATCCAAAAATATCTATTTGGAGCATCAATGAATGAAAATGGATTTTTATTTGTTCAGCTTTGTAAGTTAAAAGTGACAGTAATAAAATGTTATTATGACCCTAGGCTTAGTTATGTTAATATCTCGGGAATTCGTTGAAATATAAAAAATGTGCATTAATAATAAAAAAAAGAAAAATGTGTATACATTTTTGTACAGATTTGCCCTTGGCAAGCATTGCTTTTAAAGCTTAGAAAGTAATAGGCGACGGTTGTGTTTATTTGCGCAAAATATTTAAAATTGTACTCGATACACCCTGTAATGTACGCATTTATAATACCAGCTTGCCATACTTTTCTTTAGTATTTTTTACTCAATTGGTTAAATACCAAAGCTTGGGCACACTGGTCGAAAAGTGGTCACTTTTTTGTTTACGTTTGAATAAAAATTCATTTTCCCTAAAAAAAATATAATTTAACAAACACAATGGCCAACGGCGACTGGATGCCTTTGTTATTCTGTGGCCTTTCCATACCTATCTCCATATTCATGTGGTTGGGCAACGTGGCATTCTCTAAATTCTGGAGCTACGACTTTGAAGGTAAAAATTGATTCCATTTCCTGATAAGCCGAATACATTTGGATTTCTTGACAGAGCCTTTGGTCATAGCGCCGACTCGTTGGTTATTTTCTACATTGGCGCCGCTGGCGTTGATGACTGTGGCGCTCCGTCGCCGCTCGGTAAGCAAATCGGGTGCCGCTTTGGGCGTGGTCGTTGCGTTCACGCTGTCCATAGCGAGTCATCCGTTCTTTGCCAGTCTGGTAGTTTTCTTCTTTAGCTCATCTCGGGCGACCAAGTTTCGTGCGCAATTGAAACGCAAATTCGAGCACGACTTCAAGGAAGGCGAAGGACAACGCAATTGGGTGCAAGTGCTGTGCAATGGAGGCATGGCCACTCAGCTGGCATTGCTCTACCTGATTGACTGCGGCAGTGGAGAGCGTTCCATTGACTTCGCCAAGGAGTATCGCTCAAGTTGGCTGGGCATTGCCGTGATGAGCGCGTTTGCCTGTTGCAATGGTGACACGTGGAGCAGTGAGCTGGGTAGTGTGCTTTCCTCAAGTGATCCCATCTCTATCATCAGCTGGCGACGGGTGCCACGTGGCACGAATGGTGGAGTTTCGCTCATTGGCATCGTGGTAAGCCTCCTGGGCGGCTTGCTCGTTGGATTTGCCTATTTTGCCACCGTCCGCTATACGGTTGAGGCCAAAATGCTGCTCGTCAGTCCCCCGCAGTGGCCTATCATCTTTTTTGGCGGCTTAGCGGGACTCTTTGGCTCGCTGCTCGACTCAGTACTGGGCGGATTGTTGCAGTTCTCCGGCATTAATGCACATGGTAAGATTGTGGATGCGCCCGGCAAAGGTGTGCGTCATGTTAGTGGACTGCGCATCCTGGACAACCACAGCGTCAATCTTATCTCAACCATTGTCATTGGTGTCACCATGCCGCTGCTGGCTCTCAAGTTTTGGCCGGTGCGCTAAGAGCGTCTCTGCCTAAATATTGGACACTCTGAAATGTTTCCTTGTATACATAAGAGCGCCTATTTTTGTAATGCTTCAAGCTCAAAGCAAACAAACTGACTTTAATGTATGTAATGCAAACGATAGACTCAAACAAAGCGATAAGGGCAATTGCACTGGTAATCCTACTCTTAGCTTAAGAACAACCACATTCGTGTACAATTGTTACATCCCAGAATATTATTGTTTGTAAAAGGCAAGGCTGAGTTTATACCGAAGAGTTTGATATCTTTATCTCATATTGAGTTGCAAGTTGATAATTAAAGCCAGCCTTACCTTCATCTAATACATATCAGGCAGCTACAAAAAATGTGTTAACTAAACGTGTAATCATAGTGGCAATTGGATACTAAGTACATGTTTTATTTCACTTTTATCTTTTGCAACTTTGTTGGTAGTATATTTCGAATGAGTAAATGCTTTCAAATGTTTTGTTTTTTATCTACCCTTTAAGCTTTAAAATAGCCCTCTGACTCTGTTAGTTTTTTTAAGATTTTCGATTGCAGGTTAAAATAATGTTATAGTAATATAGCTAAATTTATTAATCCCTCTGTATTTTATTAATTCTTTTCAGCTTTTGTAATTCTATGCTACGCAGCAAGTTTTGGGATAGAGCGCGTATTGCCTCGTTGGATGGCGTGACCACGCCTGGGGCAGGCTTGGCAAAACCTATAGAGAATTTAATCATAAGATCACCTATGGGAGAGTTGACGAACTGTGAGCCTGTCGAGATGGTTTTGAAAATAATGCGACGCTTGTGCTGGTAGATTTGCGGATCGTGTGGCTGAATGCTACTGGGAATGGGCTTGGTGTGTGGTCGGGGCTTCTGGCTCGCTGCCGGAGGGGCTGCCGTGGTGGTGGTGCTAGTTGTCAGCTCTGTGCGATTGACTGAGCTTTGCGTTGTGACTGTTGTTTTTGATTGTGTGCTGGCTCTGGCTCGAGTGGTTCTTGGTAGCAACGTGGTGGTTCGCCTACGCTGGGGACGATTTCGTATGGTGGTGGTGCTGCTGCTGCTCGGAGGCTGTGTAGTTATGCTATTCGTTGGCTTGGCGCTGCTGGCACTCAGTGGTGGAACCTGATAGCCTGCATCGGGCAACTCCTCTCCAGTGACTGCGTCTGGCTTATCTGCCTCTCCATAGCCCTGCTCCGGCTCTTGCGCAGCCTCGTCCACATAGTCGTCATCCGCGTCTGCTGCGTTGTTAGTGAAAAGTGGCTTGTTGGGCGGATGCTGCACGCGCTGCCGCTTTGATTTCTCATCCTCATAGATGGGCACATCAGGGCCAGTGGCTGCAAGCACTTGCTCCATTTGCTTTTGTAGTATTTCATAGAGGGGCGTATTCTGTTCATCATCCACTAGCTCGACGGGTTCACTGGGCACAAACTGATTATTGACATATGCACTGCGCCCATCTAAGTCATCATCGACATCCGAGATGTCCTGATCCTGTTTCTGGGAACGTGATTCGGCAAGCGGCTCTTCAGATGTTGCAGCAATTTCTGAATCAGTGGGCGCCGCTTGAATACTGAGGAACGCTAAGAGAGACATCTCTTCAGTTATGGATCCTTTGGTTGGGTTAGCTTAACTCACTTCCGCCTAGCAGCAGCAGCAGCCACCAGGAGGCAACAAGCGTGCGGGTTCCGTTTGTCATTGCAGTCGCTTGACTTCTGTTCGCATTGGGTGCATTTGCCGCATCTTTTATAGGTCGCCAGTGGGATGAACGGCTGCATCTCACGCTCAATCAACGATGTTTAGTTTTGGGATTTTGTTGTTTTGTGATCTTTTGAATTGTTGGTATCTGTTTATGTCAATCAGTCCATAAAACTACCATAGAACTTGTTTCACAGTTCAATGAACTGCACATATATATGCAGATGACGTATTTACATCTTTTTAAGATGGGCAAACCCAATGCATTTTGTGGTCTTTCTTTCCCCCAGGGACTACTAAGCCCGCCCACGTTTCATCATTAAATACATGATAAAAGTTTTCTTTAAGAAATTCCTTAGCGTTTTCAGAATATTTTAAATTAACAAGACAAAAAGTAAGTAATGGGGCTCTAGTAGAGGTGCCCTTTTCTACTAACATCAAATGCAGTGAAGGGACAAGAACTAACAAAAATACATTAAAAAAAAAATCCCTTGCCATGCTCGAACTACCTTTAATATACTAAAATATATCTACTATCGCAAATGAAATTCTATTTATAGAGTTTAAAATATACACACATGAATGGATATTGCCATAAAAAGATATATACTTGATATTATTCTGGAAAATTTGTTACGGGAAGACAGATGGACATGACTCAACTATTGATGCTGACCAAGAATTTGCATATTTTATGAGGTCGGAGATACTTCCTTCCATTTTTACAATGTTTGGGGCTTAATAAAAACCAATTCAGATAGTTTTTAAATTTGATTGATATATCTGATATATCTATAAGATCCAAAAGATATTTTTTAAAATATTTTCCAAACGAAGTATCTATTGAAAGGTGAATATTTTGAGATATATATATAATGAGATCGTAATAACATGAAAATCCACGAGTGCTTCAGATCTGCCGGGAAAGAATTATACACAAGTCTAAAGCTTTGAATGAAGCAAATACAGTTCAAGTAATTAAATACTTTGACTTTTAGAGAAATTTGTATATAGTATTCCTCTAAAAAAATATCGAAAGTGACTTAAGCTATACGCCTATAGTTAGATCTGGAAAAAATTGGTCGCTTGTAGCACCAATATATATTTATTATTTTTGCAGCTGATTGGTAATAAAGTGAAATTAAATATATATAAAGCTGCTAGAGAACAGTTGATTGATAAAACCAAAAATTCCTTTAGAGACAAGATCAGATTTCAAATATCAAACAAATGGCCTAGAATTATCTTTAATTTTTTTAACAAAAGGGTTTTTGTTGTTTTTATTTACTACTAAAATAAGTTAAGATACTAGTTGATTAAGATACCACATATTTAAGTTTATCCTTATCAGACTTAGGTTCGGCCTGCTCCGAGGTTTTCTCACCCCGGACCACAGTCGAAGCTAAGGCTTCGGGCAAAGAACCTGTAATTTGAGCGACTCCAACTGTTAGTGGTTCTTCGGCTGGGAAAGCTTGTGTTACAGCTGCTTTGACTGGCAACGGGGGCATGGCGATGCTTTCAACAGGCTCTGGCACTGGCACTACGCTTTGCACGGGTTTTCCAAGCACTTGCAGGGGCATCGAAATGGTCTCCTCTTTAACAGGCTTGGCCTGGTTCTCTTTTTTGTCATGATCCTTTTGCTCCTCGCTGCTTTCATTGCTTTCCTTGCTCTCCTTGTCGTTTTCGGGCTCAGCAAATACTGCGGGCGTGGCAGCTGTGGAATTGGCTCGGAAAAAGGGCGAACATTTGAACTTCTTGTCGGTATAGGCCGTTTCCCTGGGATACGTTTGTTGGCACTGCTGATAGGGCAGCTCCGTCCACAGTCCATGCGTGCGACACTTGGCCACATTCAGCTTGCACTTGTTGTAGAAAACGGCCACCTCGTTGGTTGTTTGGCCACAGATGGGCTCATAGGCGTCCTCGCAGTCATCGTCACACAGGTAGCCCTCGCTGAGCGCGTGGGCAGCACTGTTGATGGCGCCCGAATTGCTGATCTGCTGACAGTCCTTGTTCTTGTTTGCGTCACTACTGAACCAGGCAATAGGTATGCCCAGATAGGGCGGACTCTTGCGCTTGCCATCGGCGCCTGTTAGGGGCGTGTACGTGCGTTTCACATAGTAGCCATGCTCCTCGGTGGAAACTTGGGCATTGGCACCACCACCCAAATCCGTTGAGCTGGACCACTTTGTCTTTGTCTTGGTTTTGTGCGAATCGCCGTGATCGTCGCCCTTATGCTTGCGGCGCTTGGCCTCAATGCTGGCAGGTTCTAGCAGCAGCAGAGCGGCCACTGCAACAGTTGGCAACAGAGAAATGCAGGTTTAAATTTGACTGGGCGCTACCTGCCAATGGGTTCGCCCAACTTACCTACGATGCATGCTGCTTGGTATGGTCTCATCTTTGATTCTGTTTGCTGTACAACTGGAACGATCTTAACAGTGGCTCGCTCCGACAATAACTGATCGCATCTTCTGGTGTGTGGCCTCTTAAGTATCTTAGCTTTGGGTTGCGCTTTGCTGGGCGGGGTATTCTTTTTTCCTTTACCGGTTTTCTTGGTAATCTTCCAATGCTCTTTTCTTCTGTTTCTGTTTGTCTGCATCGAAAGTACGCAAAGTTGTTTTTTTTTAGTTTTTGGTGAAATTTTTTATGCAAACTCATGTGGTCTTCATATATCTGTGCATGCTACGTGCCTGTATACCCTTTTAAGCATCTAGAATGTTGGTCTCGAACTGGTTGTCTGTTTATCACCTTACTCACCTTTGCTGGTCCCCGCCCACCCGATCGAAGCTGGTAGCTTGTGTCGAAAGCCGGTTCAAAATTGGGTCAATCCGAAAGGTTTTCTGATCTCGTTTTACAGCCGCACATAATTCTTTTCGCCTCAGGAGCTCGCCGTGTGTCTGTTTATTTGAAATTATCATCCAATCAAGCGGCTTGTTATCAACATCTAGAAAATTTTATTGTTGGCACAATTCGAGCGCAGTGCAGCTAAGCATCCAATTTGTGGTACTTCATAGATAAGGGAATAAGATGAACCATTGTTAAATGTGTTCCAATTACAGGCCGTTTTGTGGCAAAAGTTGAGCTGCAAACGCCACTTTGTTTAACTTTCTTTACTAGCCTATATCTGCATTATTAAGAATATTACCGAACGAATTTTAAAATGAAACAATTTGGTATACTCCAAATTTATAACATTTTCTACTAAAAGAAGAAGAGGAAATCGACGTTGACCTAGCCTCTACGATCTCTATTTAAGAGCTCCTTTAGAAATATAAGTATAAGTACATATGTGAGCCATATTTTAACTATTAATTATAGTTTATTTATTTTTGTGATTGGAGCCAAAAAGATTGTTTTCTTGGAGAGACAACCGCGTACAAGCAGCTTTATAATTAGCTTCAGATTAAAAAACTTCCAGACCAGATTATGCTGATCAATTGCTTTCTCCGCAACGCATCTGTATGATTCATTCCCTTCGTTATCAGGTATTGCTTTTATTGTAATCAGATGCGTTTGATTTTCAAATTATGCTTTATGGAAAAGTTTTCAAATTTTCAAAATGCATTAGAAAGTTCAAGACGTCGAAATGAAATAAATACAATGACAACAACACACGCTGTGGTCGGATCTAAACAATCAAATAGGCTCTAATAATTACATAATTAGACAGAGCAGAGCAATGACTGATAGCCGAAGAAAATTAAATCAGTTAATTAGGTGTATCATGCTGTTGTACAAAAAGGAAAAAAAAAAAAACAAAAATAAATCTCTTTTGAATTATAATATTTGTGGCACCTAAACATATTTGCATATAACAACAACAACAACGGCGAGAAGAGTTCGCTCCGTAACGCCCGCAACTGGCAAATGGCTGTTAATGCGTTAGCCAAACAGACGCGAGATGGCCAAAAGTTTGAGCATAAATAAACAAATTTATGAAAGAAGTGACCAGAAACCGAGTTTTGAATAAATGATTTCGGTTTCTTTTGTTAAGCAGACAACAACAAAAAAAAAGAAGAGAAAAACGGGGTAAACAAAAACAAAAAAAAGTAAAAATAAAGCAAAAAGAAAGAGCGCCGAGAGCTTGTTGCAGTAAAAGCGGCAGCTTGGATGTTGGTCTGCTCCAGAGACCAGACCCCCCAATACTGAAAGAGCTCGCTCAGTGCCTGCCTGGCCAGGCCAGGCCAGGCCAGGCCTTATATACTTTCATTTTAGACAAAACCGCAGCCGTCGCATGGCTATAAAAAGCGAAAGCAAAGCGCTGGATTCGCTCATAAAGACCGCAAAACTGCAAAAGTCAACTGTGCCCCGTTTCCGTACCGAGCCATAAGGATTATCCAAAATAAGCAACAAATATGGTTAAGCACATTTACCTGACGTTGGGTAAGTTCCATCTACTTAGTAGAGTCCCGAGCGTTTCAAATAATTTTTGTTAATCCCACACAGCTGCATTGCTCTGCTTGGCCATTGCTGTGAGCGCCGCCCCCGCCAAAGTGGAGTATGAACTGGTCCAGGACGGTGATTTTTCAGCTCTGAGAAAAGCCGAAGAGGCACACAGCTCCAGCGCGGACAGCGATGCTGAGGACGATGACGACGATGAGGATGAGGTAGGGCAAAAGCAGGAAGACGATGATGAAGATTCAGACGATGATGATGCCTCGTTTATCCGAAGACGCCGCGAGGCTGTCGAGGAACCTGCCAAGGAAACAGCTGAAGCCGTAGCTGAGGCTGCTCCTGCAGCATCCGCAGAGCCCGCAGCACCCGCAGTCCCCGCTGCTGTTGAGCAAATCGCTGAGAGCGTCACAACCATTCCCACCACCAGCTCAGTAACAACCACCCGTAAGCCGGTGCTCGTCCTAATACGTGATGCACTCAAAAAGGTCACCGCGGAGTTGCCCACGGAGCAGGTGGCCAACAATGCCCTACAGTATTTCCAGCTGTTCGAGCACTTTATACAGCAAACCATCGAGCAGGTCATTGATGCTGCTGATGACGATGAGGAGGAGCCAGCAGCAACTGCTACCACCGTCGCAACTGTCACGGAGGAGGAGAAGGACAAGCACCCCGAGATGCCAGAGACGCAGCCCGAAAAGCAATCCGAGTTGGCTGCAGCTGTAACTGCAGCTCCTGTCGAAAATACGGCCCAGCCCGCGGAGCCGGCAATTGCTAGCAATGCAGTCTAGGAATTCCCAGCAAATACCTCAAACTATTTATTTTTACTATTTATTGTTAGCTGTAAAAATGTGCAAATACACGAAATTCCTTGAACTAAAACTCCTTTTGCTCCTCACTCTCAGCTGCGCTTAGCTTCTTATAGAGCTGTGAGGCATTGCGCTCCTTTAGAGCTTGAATCTTGCTGCGGCTCTGGCTGCGATGTCGATTGGTTGTGCGCCTTTTGGGTGGCTCAATTTTCTCCAGCAAACGATTGAAATATGAGTTGGGCGACTTGGTGGAGTGGTTCTTCTTCTCCGCAGAGCTGCGTCTTTGCAGCGGCAGTTCCTTATCGCCAATGGTCAAGCTGATCGGCATTTTGCCAGAGGTATTGATATAGATCGGTATGGTTATGTAGATTGGTGTGCCAGGAATCGGGTCGGCTTTAGTATTCTAAACAGAACGAAAATTTGTTGTAATCTCGCTTAGAGACGGATCAGAATTAATATATTAATATGATGAATGATGATTCTTATGTACAGAAAGAGTGGATATTTGTCTTTTTTTTGTCCAAAGATTCTTGCTTCAAATTTACGACACACATTTTCCCGTCAGGGGCCGGATGTCCATAGAAAATAAAAATCTGATCCGTAATTTCTTGAACTCCACGTGTAGAGATATAGGTATTTAATTATTTCAATACACGTCTATTTAAGTCTTGTAGGATAAAGTCCCATTACCTTTCAAAATGAGTGGCTTTTTCGAAAAGTGAAATGAATTTTCAGCATTATGCGGCTTAGGCTGTGCGTTGTTCACCATTCAGTCAGTCAGACGGATACTTTTATATATAAAGAGCTTTAATTTATTAAATTAATTATTCGATGTACTTAGATATGGATGTGTGTGCATTGAGTATATGGGTGAAGTGACAAGTATGTGATTCTTAAAGAGAAAGCTTAGGAATTGACAAATTGCAACCATTATTTAACTTATCTTAAATCAGAAAATCAATTTGCATAAAGTGAGAGCTGCACAGTATTAGCTAAATAAGTTGTGATACGAAAGATGTATATATCGAGTTAAGGGAAAGGTGTTTTACTTTTTAGTAGTGGAATGATATAGTAGTAGAACGATGACAATAGACAGATAAACAACTAAAGATGCTTGAAGTGGGAAGTGAAGAGAGCATAAGTTTTAGCTACCTGCGGCTGGGTTGATTCTGTCTGAGATTTAGTTGGATCTGGAGGAGGTTTAGTTGGGTCTACCTGCGGCTCTGTTGTGTCCGCCGGCGGTTCTGTCAGCTGCTTGAGGAAATGCAGCGGATTGGCGTCATGGCTCAAGCTGTTGAACTCATCCTCTGTAAGCGCAGGCAGGCGATCGTTTTTAAAATTATATTCATGGTCCTCTATATGGGTCTCATAGGTGCTTGTTTTGGTTGTGGAGCTGCTGATGGGTTTTGGGGTTGTGCTAGTACGTGTGGACTCCAGCAGGACCTCCAATTTATGCGCCTCTTCGCTATCACTTGGATTCACATTGTTCTGCGCCAACTTTTCGGCCGCACAGAGCGTGTTGCAGAGCAGCACAGCTGATAAGTTGAAAGTGGTCAAGAAGACGCAAGGAAAATCTATGTTAATGCCATATTTTATTTGATAAAATATTACAAACTAAACTATAAAAGCAACTTAAGCTAATGCCCAGCCCTAGCCTAAACCACATGACCAACGGAAGCGCTCTAGAGAGCCGTCTTTTTGCCATTGAGCACCACATCGGTTAGCCCGAGTTCCTGGAATTGTTCTAGACGTTCCACCTGGTTGCAGAGTCGCTTCTTGAACTGCACCTCGCGACTGAGCATCTTGAGATCATCCACGCTGCACATTTTGTTATAGCTGCCAATGTTCTTGGCTATTAGCTCGGCTGTCAGCATGATCTTCGCACGGGACAGACGCAGATAGGAAAAGTCCGTATTGGCTCGCCGCAGCTCTTGGCGGTATAGGAACAGCTGATAGTCGAAGCTAATGTTACGCGTTTTCATCTTGAGAAGCTTTTTCGTATGCTTCTTGACTTTATCCTGCTGCTGCTTGGCTTTGGTGAGTTTCTTAAGCTGCTTCAAACGCTGCTTTTCCGATTTCTTTTCCAGGTTGCGGCTGCTCATATTGAACTGTTCACGCTTTAACGTTTCGTGCGCGTTTAATGCCAGGACCTGTACAGGACCTCCTTATATGGCAAGCAGGTAGCCACCCATTTGAATTTGCAATATTCCACCAGGTAGTTCATCTCATTAGCGCATGTGCCCGGGCGCGTGTTGGTCATAAACAGCGTATCCAGGCTTTTCATTCGGAATATTTTCCGCAACGGCTGTCTGGGTATTTCCACGGTTTATTTATGGCTTTATGACTGGAACATGGGACATGGGATACTGCCGTTGCCGCTGCCGTACCCACAACTATTCCCAACACATCGCCGGCTGTGTCCAGTCTTAAGCCTCAATTACGGCTACCTTAACTTAGCGCCGAGTATTTGAACGCGGCTCAAATCTTGCTCACGTCGCGACGTTGGGTTCTGTGGCGTTCCTGTTCGGTTTTGGGATTTCGCGAAAACACTCTGGGACATTTTTCGTGGAATTTGTGGATGGTTCTGGTAAACACATTTATGGAAAGTCGCGGCTACAGCCCGCTAATGCTGGCCTTGTCCCCATTTTTGGACATTTTCCTGCATGCCCAAAGTCCTTCTCAGTATTATATGGATTTATGTCTGTCTTGATTTATTAGAGCTACCTTCTTTCGAAAGTTCTAGGGTTTGTTTCTTTGTACTTTTTGTGAGAGTGTCTCCTTAAGCTTGGTTTTCCTAACCCTACAAAAAAGCTCGTTAGCGTCGAGCTTCAAATCACAAGATCCCAGATCCCAAAGCGGGTACAGATTTTGATGACCTATTCTTCTATTTAAAATTGTATAAGTCCCTTGTCCCAATATAATTAGTATAGTTAATAAAATGAAAGAATTGCTCAATAGTTGTAACTTTTCAACAAATATTTAGTGTAAATTGTTGCATAAAAATATTTTGTTTGTTCGCTTCTTTTCCTTCATTAAACCACTCACATACACATATATGGACTTATTAAGTCTAATTAAGGTTTTTTATACAAATAATCATAGTTCTCTATGCCTTAAAACTTTATTAAACGCACCTCCACAGAGAAAATTAAGCGACCGCTTCATGCTCGTTTCAAAAATAATACTAAAACTGCTTTCGGGCAAAGATTTCTATTTTATAGCGAAAAGAGTTTGCGGAGAAAAAATTTCACTGGATGGGAATATATATTGTTGAAGTTCTCTTTTTCTGGCTCATTCGCATATTAATTTCTAAATCGTAATGATGGTCTTTTCTCTGGCATGCAAATTTCGCTTTAAAAGTTAAACAGCGTCGTCATTGATTGTGTTTTTTATTATTTGGGGACTCTGATGACCCGGCCGCATAAATAATGATGATGCGCCAAATCTTTTTTCTTCTTGTTGCTTTTCAGGCATTTTATTTGTTCATTTTGCTTGCATTTTATGAATTTGGAATCATCTCTTGTGCTTGGCCATTCAATGGCTGTGCCTGAATGCGCAGCTGGAAAATGTTCTCGATGCCTTTGTCAATAGGAATTAGCCGGAGCCAGTGCAGAGAGACAGCCACAGCCATCGATGAGTTTTATTTAAAGTTGAGCTTATTTATTTTGCATTGGCTGTCAGCACAGAGCACAGAGGCCAAAACGGAGGCCAATACGGGCCAGGACTCGGGCAGGGCATTTCCATTTGACTTGGCTCTGACTGACTTGCATAACATCTTCAGTCATCGTCTTTTGTGGTTTGCGTTTGTCATTAGACAACGTCTAGACCGAATTTTGGAAGCCAGTCCCGGTCATTGATAGCTCAGCCAGACGCATGTCCTGTGAGTGCTTGCCGAACCAGTTGGCAACACAATTTGGCCATAGGCAAATACATACGTATATTGAAATTGGCAACGTTTGTGCATGTGACTGACTGAATGCCAAAAGCATTGACTCTTATTCGCTTCTCGTCTGTCTGCTGTTGACTTACTTTTATGTTAAGCAGGACCAATATTTAGCCAGCAAGAACGTTTGCCTGGATACCCTACTGTTGCTTATTCTTGAGATGTTTAGCTGAGCTTGGCTCAAATATATTCACAGTCACAGACTTTCAGAAGCTGCTTCTTAAAGAAGGATATTTTGAAAATTTCATTATTAAATCCATTAAAAAAACTGGCAACAAAATTGTGCTAGTCTCAGATTAAGAATAATTTATTAAGTTTTTCTCATTTCTCTAATTAAGTGTCGATTGATAACCTTTGATTTTCTAATCATGACAACAAGTTATCTGACACTTATAGCTTTTAATGAGCTCTCGAGCAAGTAATGCATTTGTAAATCTTTTTTATTGAAATTGATTTTTTTTTAATAAGTATTCGATTCAGCACATTCATCAATTTATTTTTAGTTCAATAATCCAAATTGAAGCGAACTTGACTGCCCTTTTATTCGACCTTTTACTTCACAGTTTACAGCCTCCGTTTTGCGCTTTATAGATATTCCATTAGAAATGCACAAAATATACTCTAATAGAGGGTATTATCATTTTCCTACAATATGTCTAGCAAGTAAACTAAGCAAAAGAAAGACAAATCCAACCGCTCTATAGTGGGAATATTTTACAGTAAATGAAACGTTAATTCACTGGCCTGAAATATTGTGATTTAACCAAGTTAATATGCTGGCTTTCATTAGCTTGTGTCGATGAAGATCCGCTCGATTATCAAGTTCATGATGTTGGATTTTTTTGATGAATGCCAATATAAGGGTATTAACTTCGGCAGTTTGAGTAAATATACTCACTTGCTTTTATTGCATTCATGATGACGTTGACGACGACGTCGGGGCAATAATTTTTCGACATTGTGTTCGCAATTTGTTAGCCATGAGGCCAATAAATTTGTTCAAAAATGCACCATAAAAAAAGAGGGGCAAAATAAAAAACGAGAGATACGATCCAAAAAACCTATGCACTTTATAATGAAATAAATTGACTTTCATGAAGGCGGTATCAATATGGAAGCCAAAGCAAATAAATCCAAACTTTGAGCGCAAATTAAAATGGTTTGGAGCGGTACGGCGGGTGCGGACGGTGCGGTTCGGCTGGGGAAAATAAAAGGGCAAACGCTTTGGTTCGCCGCTCAATTTGCAATAATGCCGCACATCCAGTTTCATTTCAATTGCAACAATTTCGGACAGAGGCAAAAAGAAAGATATAAAATAAATACGCGTATGCACATATGTATATATATATTGTCGATATATATATTTGGATAAGTATTGGGAGTACTCGTATATATGGCTAAACTCCGGTCTCGGTCGTTGCTGCGCAATATTTGTGTGCGTTTTTGTTGCCTGTTTTTCAGCTGTAAAATGCATTTCACATTTTATTGTGCACTCAATCAAAAATCCATTTCCGTTTGCCGCTTGTGAGGACTCCCAACTCCCAACTCCCGTCTCCCGACTCCAGACTCGCAACATCAGACTCCCGCCTCTGAGTACTCGCGGCACGGTGCTTGTTTATTCGAAAAATATGCCAGCACGTGTGAGTACCGGAGGCCGGATGAGTGAATAGCTGAACTGACGACTGACGACCGACGACCGACGTCTGAACTAACTGGAATTGGCATCTAAAGTTTGATAATTGAGTTGAAGCTGCTCGCTCGTTGAAGTCGTGTCATCATCATCGACGGCTTTTACCAATATTGCAATAACACAACACTGGCTCCATATAAAAGGGAAATACATATGGGCGAGTCGTATGTGCGATGGGAACGAGCCTTTCTCGCAATGCGCATTTCTGCTGCACGTGCCAAAGCAATTCAAAATCAAACGGCAGCCAAAGCCCATCTCCTGGCGATTGTCGGACATTTTTGAGTTTGATGAAAGCGGCCCGCAGCTCCATACGGATTATTGGAGTCAAAGTAGTGCTAAAAGTGTTGCCCAGCCAGGTAGGGGAAAACGGAGTAGTTATGAAAATACAATGCCAACAGTTTTGCAGCACCAATACGCTAGAAAAATGTCTCCTTGTTGGGCATAGCAGTTGCGTGTTGCAAATTTACCAGATGTAGCCAGTGTTGTAAAGTTATAAAACGAAAGGTAAACAGTTGTCCAACAATACTAAAATTGCATCTCTCTCGCATTAAGGCATTCTCTTGTGCCGGCTGAATGTTAGAAATATAGCCTATTTCAATTTTTTCCAGCCCGTATAAATTACCCGACTTAAAGAACTCATTAATTTAACTACACGCATCTGTATAACTCGGTGTAGTTTCACTTGTGATATATATATATTATTTTTATTCATTTCGTTTTGTCTTGTTTCATTTCTTTTGTTGTTCTTTCTTTTGTTTTTATATGCTCTCTCTCCAATTCCTATTTTGGCAGTTTGTTGGTCCTCTTCTTGCTGACATGACATGAACTGTAGTTTATTTATTATTTGCTCTGATGTTTTTTCTTTTCTGTCCATCTTCCTTTTTTGCTCTTGTTTCTCTTAATTTTGTTTATATCTCTGGCGCATGCAGGCCACTGTGCTCAATTTGTGTGTGTGTGTGTGTATGTGTGTACAAATGTGTGTGAGCATGTTTATATATACATGTATATGTATGTACGTCATGTAGTTTATTGTCAATTGTTTGTGGCATTTATTTCGGAATTGCTGTTCATTTTTCTCACTCTATTTGTGCATTGTTTTTATTCCTTTATTTATTTATTTATTTGATTAGTTTTTATTGCATGACAATTTTGACGCTTACGAGGATATTTCATCAGGAACCGACTGCATTGCAGTTGAATTCCATAGGTTTCTGACAATCAACATAAAGCATAATTTTCCCCATTGTTGTTTGATGTGCACGTATAACTAGTTAAGAAATTTTGAAATATTTCTCTACTTTAGACATTTTAATCAAAGAAAATGAGTTGCATGCTATGCGAAGCTCGAGTTTCTACCCCATTTTTGTTTTTCAATTTTCCATGAATAAAAAAATTCTATCCCAATCGCATTTTAGATATGCAAAATCCACCCCTTTTGCATTTACATGCTCGCATTGTCAACCTATTCA